ACACACAGACATTTCACATATCCCCAGATAGCTGGGATCTGAGTGCACATTATTAGATGAATGGCACTCAGATCACACAAATAAGCCTTTCTGCAGGGGAAATAAACAGTTTAACCTGCAGGGCCATAGTCCAAAGGGAGCAGGCGAGCAACCAGGCTTCTCCAGTTCACAGTGGCGAGGTTGGTTTCGCCACATAATACATAAATTGTTTAGTGGTTAGGGGTTTCCCTTGAATAGCTAACAGTGTACAACCTGTGTTGGAAGTGATTTGGGACATCAATAGTTTCTCTAAAACTAGGATAGGACACCATTTGGTAGAGGTAGGATAGTATTTAATTTCTACCGGAGGACCTGTTTAGCTTGTTTTGGTATGGGTAATGGATAAGATGTAGTGGTCTTGTCTTTTGTTTAGGTGTTTCTTTTGGAGGCAAAGCTTAGAATCGGTTGTTTTTTCCACTGAAAATGCTTTGGGTCTCAAAAAACCATAGAAAGCTAAGTAAGCTGTGGACTTTATAATTAGGTTTGTGGTGAGTTCAAAAGGGGACGTGTCGAGGATGTCGGAGATACTTTTAAAGAGTTTACTGTCTATGGGAAGTCTCTTGATGGGATTGTGTGCTGATAATCTGTGAACACCTCTTAAGACACTTTTTACTGGCTAGGACGTTAGGAATGGAGTTTTGTTGGGATGGCTGGTCAACATGTAGTGTTGTATGCCTGTTAAGTAGAGTTTGATAGTGTTGTAGGCTAAATTAAGAGAAATATGGCAAAAAGTTGTGAATGCAGCAACAGTTTCAATAGAAAAAACATTTATTATGTGATAATCACGAACAAAATCTTTAAACAACTTGTATGCTCTAGAGTAGGCTTTCCTTGTATTAGTGGACAAGCCTGCTTGTGCAAGAGATCTACTATGCTGTAATAGAGAACTTAAAGCATAATAAGTTCTGTGAAACTTGGAGATCCCCTGGGTTGCGGGTTTGCTGATGGGTGATAACTGAAAAATTCCTGCAAATTCAAGCGTGAGAGAGCATCAGCAGCGTTATTTTGAACACCCGGAACGTGAAAACATGTATTGCAGAATTGCAGGTTAGCCGCTAGCCAGGTCAGTCTCCTTATTAATTTCATAATCGTAAGGGACTGAGAGCGGACAGAAATTTACTGAATGAGCAGCAGAAGAGCATATAGCGCAGGAAGGGATTTTAAGGCCTGCAAAATGCATCAGGAACAATTCTGTGTCTAGCTGTGCCCAGTCAGTAACCGTATTGTACTGGGAGAGAGATGCAGCGGATCTGGAAGAAAATGACTTATGATAATCATAAAATGCATAGCCGCCGTACTTGTATGCTAACTCAACCACTTTTTGAAGGTATAAGTAAAGTTCCTCTCTACGGAGTGGGAAAGCTGTACAGATCACATCTCTGTACAAGCCGAATGCGAGGACAAATTCTGGAATATTGAGTTTCCTATTTAGTCTAGGATCTCTAGACTTCATCACTACCGACTGATCCTTGAAGGTATAGGCCCTGTTTTCTACCACGTCTTGAGATGCAATCAGTAGTGATGCTAAGTTTATGTCCTTCCCCTATATAATATCCCGTCTTAGAGACTGAGGAATGAGATAAATGGAGTTAATGATATTAGTAGCTCTACTAGCTGGTAGAGGGTTATCTTTACCTCCTGAGTTAGTTGTGGGCTGAGTAACTGGCACTGGAATCTCTGGAACGGTTGTGATGTTGTTTGACTCCAGATTATCCAATCTGTTGTTAATAGTTGCTACTGAGGAAACAAGGGAGGCCATTATGTTGTGTAATTCTGCAAGGCTATTTTGCACATTGAAATCAGAACTAGGGCCTGGCTTTTCGTTGTCTTCAGTAATTTTTAACAACCTAAACAGTTCCTTTTTGCCGGGGCTGTAGCCGGGAAAGGAATATTCCTCTTTATACGTTCTGAGGTGATCTTAGGGATAGTCCAGGAACGATAGCTGGAAGCTGGACTTGGTGGATTGGTTCGTCTCTGCGAGCCTGATCTGAGTGGGGTGCTGGCCACCGACAAATCATCTCCTTGTGTAGAATCGTTAGACATGCTACGGAAGTGATGCAGATGGGTAAGGTTATTATGGTACCGTATCGAACGGTAGTGACCCAGCTTACTAGGCTAGTGCCTACTGGCGAAATTGTATTAACTAGCTTAGGTTGGTGACAGGTGAAGCCCTGACTACTTGCCAAGTGGCTATGAGAGGCTCTACCTATGATTTGGGTCGTGGGGCCTTTGTGCCACTGAGGTGGGTGGCGGGGTGTTGGCCTCTCGGTGATGCTTAACAGAGTGTAATAATGATTGGCCGTGACGGGTGAGGCCCTAACTATGAGTTGGTGCAAGTTGGTGCAAGGCTCTAACTATGAATTGGGACGATTGGCATGAACCTCTGAACATAATGGTTGATAGTATGCCTTGTGGGACCACTTGACTGCTAAGCGAAGAGGCCCATGGGATCTTACCTAACTTGGCAGGAGTTTAAAGCTACTGGTAACCTTGCCTGGGTTTGACCGGTATGCATACCTGATAAATGACTTGTCTGACGTATACTGAAGTTGAGAACAATCCTTACTTGAACCTAAAACATTCCACAAATTTAAATTACCACCTAATCCATGGGAGCAGCCGTAAAAATTATTATTATTTTTTTTTTCTCCCCTTCAACCAAAAGGTTGTATACTAACCGTATGCGTGGAAAAAGATTTAAGAAGACTTTGGCAGTTGATAGCTAGAACTCTAACAATGTAGAAGTAGCTTTTAACCAAAAGTTTCGATTGTATGCTGTGTCGTATATAATGTTTCTTAACAGAGGGGAGAAAAAACATATAAAACAATGTAATTTAAACAATATTGTATGGTGTAGTTAGTAACACGAAATGCACGAGACCGAAAATAACTGTCCGTAGTTAATTACTGACACTTTAAGTACCCCCATTGAAAGTACAGAGTAAAGAACCTATATATATATATATATATATATATATATATATATATATATATATACACATAATAAGCCTATTAACAGAATTTAGCCGCTCAACCTTGTCTAACCACAAGGTTCACTTCAGGGAGATCATGCCAAACTAATCTTATTGATTTTTTTGATTGGGTAACTAAAATTATAGATCAGGGTGGTGCAGTAGACATTGCTTACCTAGATTTCAGTAAGGCTTTTGACACTGTTGCACATAGAAGCTTATCAATAAACTGCAATCTTTAAGTTTGGATTCCAATATTGTTGAATGGGTAAGACAGTGGCTGAGTGACAGGCAACAGAGGGTTGTAGTTAATGGAATATATTCGAAGCTTGGACTTGTCACCAGTGGGGTACCTCAGGGATCTGTACTTGGACCCATTCTCTTTAATATTTTTATTAGTGATATTGCAGAAGGTCTTGATGGTAAGGTATGTCTTTTTGCTGATGATACTAAGATATGTAACAGGGTTGATGTTCCAGGAGGGATAAGCCAAATGACAAATGATTTAGGTAAACTAGAAAAATGGTCAGAATTGTGGCAACTGACATTTAATGTGGATAAGTGCAAGATAATGCATCTTGGACGTAAAAACCCAAGGGCAGAGTACAGAATATTTGATAGAGTCCTAACCTCAACATATGAGGAAAGGGATTTAGGGGTGATTATTTCTGATGACTTAAAGGTAGGCAGACAATGTAATAGAGCAGCAGGAAATGCTAGCAGAATGCTTGGTTGTATAGGGAGAGGTATTAGCAGTAGAAAGAGGGAAGTGCTCATGCCATTGTACAGAACACTGGTGAGACCTCACTTGGAGTATTGTACACAGTACTGGAGACCGTATCTTCAGAAGGATATTGATACCTTAGAGAGGGTTCAGAGAAGGGCTACTAAACTGGTTCATGGATTGCGGGATAAAACTTACCAGGAAAGGTTAAAGGATCTTAACATGTATAGCTTGGAGGAAAGACGAGACAGGGGGGATATGATAGAAACATTTAAATATATAAAGGGAATCAACACAGTAAAGGAGGAGACTATATTTAAAAGAAGAAAAACTACCACAACAAGAGGACATAGTCTTAAATTAGAGGGACAAAGGTTTAAAAATAATATCAGGAAGTATTACTTTACTGAGAGGGTAGTGGATGCATGGAATAGCCTTCCAGCTGAAGTGGTAGAGGTTAACACAGTAAAGGAGTTTAAGCATGCATGGGATAGGCATAAGGCTATCCTAACTATAAGATAAGGCTAGGGACTAATGAAAGTTTTTAGAAAATTGGGCAGACTAGATGGGCCGAATCGTTCTTATCTGCCGTCACATTCTATGTTTCTATGTTTCTATGTTTCTAAGGTGGTGACAAAGCCAAAACCAACCAGGCTACTCAACATATAATTGACAACATATAAGTTTTCACTAAATGGAACCATGGTAGTAAAATGAAAACAGCATCGGAATCTAAATTTAAACGGAGTATAATTATTACTGCAATATGTGAGTGAAATGCCAACTTGAACCAACGACCGTTTATACCCCACGAATTGTTAGTTAGCACGAACTGAGGTTTTTATTTTTTTTATTTAACCTAAAGAGTATTATTTAACAACCAGAGTATAATGTTTGAGAGGTTTGAAAACTGACTGCCGGCCGGCGGGAAACTAATGTCAGGACAAGACAGAGTTGACCATAATATAACCTATATAATTATTAATGAATAAGTAAAGAATTTATAATGAAGTTTAATACTGGCGTAGCCTTAACGGAACAACCACTGATGCGAGTGAAAGAGTAGCAGGTTAAAATAATTGACAGTTTATAACACATCTGTAATTAATTAATAGAGCTTTGAGAGTACAATTGCAAAATACATGAAAGTTAGCCATACATTTAATGAATGATACCAACCCATATTGAACATAGCCACAAGGTGGCGATATTTAGCCATACATACTGACTAAATGACATACTAACAGTTAAACCAGCCTACATGCGGGGAAAAGCAGTGCTAAGAATGAAATAGCCGAATGGCACCCTGAATAGGAAGATGTTCATGTACAACGACCGCACGTAAGTATAGGTGTTCGTGTATTGAAGATTTTGATCGGTACCGTGAAGCCGGTATGCAGCAAGTATCAAAGGGGAGCCTTTATGCGCCGTGCCCCCTGTGAGTATGTGGGGGTCCCTTTGTGAATAGCTCGTTGTACAGCTCGTTGCTGGGGAGTCTGAGGGTCGAAGGAGTTCCCTATCTAATGTTACACATGGCGTTGGATGCGCCCGTGAGATAACTCACTGTTTTACCCGGGGAGACAGCCTTGTAGAGCGGTTATGCTTCCGTTACTGGCCGAAACTCGGTTTGGTCCAGATCACGTGAACCGGAAGTAGATCGAAGCACTTCCGGGAACGTCGATGACAGGTAAGCTGGGCTTGTTGTGCTTTATATAGGGAAAAATGTACCTCCCACAATTCCAGGCTAAGCCTTCTATATATAAAATCAAATAATATGAATATAACTAAATATAACATATGTATATATAATATATAACTAATAAACAAATAATCTGAAGTGAAATATAATAGATATAACTAAATACCATAAACATAATATATATATATATATATATATATATATATATATATATAAAAAATATATATAAATATATAACACGGTAACTGAATATAATAAATATAAATCATAAATAAGTCATACTAAATCCCAAAGCCACCAACTATAAGCAGGAGGCAGTGGTACTCTGACCTGTACTGACTGCAGAGCAGCAAAGAAAGAGGAAATGATGCATGGGGAGGGGAGTTTTATAGTAACTAACTTTTTTCTGATTGGTTGTTTTTCTGTGCTGCTGTGGAGTTCTAGTAAAGAGAGACTAAAGCAAATACGAAGCCTCCTGTCATGTTATAAAATTGAGCAGCCCTTCAGTATGCTGTATTAGACCAGTCTTTAATTTATTTTAATATGCCATTTAGAGGCTACCTTCCTCATTGGTGGTATTTTGTGGTAGCAGGGACTGTCAAACTGTATGCATTTTCCAGTCTCTGCTCTCGGTTTGAAAAGGGGCTTAGTGAGGGTCTCCCTCCCACACACAGCACTTCAAGGGAGATGACAGAAGGTATTGTGGCTGGGTCTGGCATTGGGAAGGGATCTTTAGAGCTGAAGAGTGGGTCTTCAAACTAGGGAATGAGACTTCTGGACTGGGCATTAAAGTGTTGATCTATGAAGTGGTTGGGGTTGGAAAGTGGGTCAAAGTTGGGAGTTGAGTTCTGAGCTAGGGAGTGAGACTTCAGGGCTGAGGAGTGGGGCTTGGATGTAGAGAGTGGTGTTTTCAGCAAAAAGTGCAACTGTGGCGCTCGGGAATGGAACTTTGAGTTAAGGAGTAGGCTTTAGAGAGTGGGACTGTGGGGCTAGAAAGTGGAAATGTAGCTGTGGGGATGGGAGGCATGTGTTGAAGGTGATTGAGGGATTTAAAGAAAACAATGTTAGAATCAGCATTGCAGAGAAATGTGAGCAGAAAGAATGCATTCACCTCCAGGATCAAGGATTTCTCCAAAGAAAAGGGTAAACAGATAGAGGCCTAGCAAAGATGAACATTGTTTTAGGCATAAGGGATGGTTCAAATTAAATGGGGCTTAGAGAGATCAGGGGAGGAATGGCAGATTTTGGCTTGGGTGTCATGTACAAAACTCACAGACGTCAGTATGGATGGTCCTAGTCATGCAGTGCATACAATGTATTTAGATTTGGCCCAGCAAGTCTGCTGAAAATGCAAGGTATGCGATAATCCCTGCAATATCATTAATATGATCTACACAGTATAGAGGAACATTCACAGACTATCATGATTATTGTCTCATCTCACCCTGTCATCACTAGTAAACACCTCCTATCATATATGCCTTAGATACCATAGTCCCCAAGAAATATTCCAGTGGGCCAATCAAGGCCTGACAAACTTTAGTCACCAGCCCATGCACTAACCTACACAGTGCTGGTGTATAAAAGACCCTGCAGAAAGGCTGCCTTATGCCTGCAGAATGGTGCAAACAGTTAGCAAAACCAACCTGTTGCTATTTTAATTTTCAGAAAAAAATGTGGGAAGCTGTAGCCTACAACCCTTTAATGGCCCTCACAAGCTAGTGATCCAAGGGACAATTACCCCAAAGCCACCCTTTCTAGTGCTCCCATTGGTGGAATAGTAGGATGTTTAGGTTTAGGGAGGTATTTAGTGTTAGAAGAAACAATAGTGTGTGTTCAGGATTACAAGGGGATTAGGTAAGGATTTAGGAGTAGGTGTGATGTGATCTATAGTATATAATAGGGATGTGCATGGGGAAAATATTCAGTTCGGTTGGACATTCCGGAATTTGGGACTTCAGCAATTCGGAACTTCGGCAACTTCGGCACTTTGGAATTTCGGAACTTCAGCATTTCGGGACTTCGGCACTTCTCTTGCAGCCGCTTAGTAGATAACTCCCTAATTCCCACGGTATTAGGGAGTTATCTACCAAAAGGCTGAAAGACCTAAATTGGTCTTTCAGCCAAATGTACTAATACTAAGTAAAAATTACTTAGTATTAGTAAATTCTGCCCCTACACACTATACTGCGAGTAGAGGAATGTCTATTAAACAGTGGCTGCTCACTGTTAAAAAAAAAAAAGTCTCCCCCCTCCCAAATCCCCACCCGTGCCGCGCGAGTGGGGGCTTTTAAACTGATGGGGGGACCTATTGTCCTCCCCCGGCCCCCACGCCTGAGCAGCGGGTGGGGGCCCTAAAGATGAATAAGTGGGGGACCTATTGTGCTCCCCCCGGCCCCCACCCCTAAGCAGTGGGTGTGGGCCCTAAAGTAAAATAATGGGGGGGGACCTATTGTCCTCCCCCTGGCCACCACCCTGAGCAGTGGGTGGGGGGCCTTAATTAGAATAAGGGGGTAGAGGGGACCTATTGTCCTCCCCCCCAGCCCCCACCCCTGAGTGGCGGGCCCTAAATACCAGTAAAGGGGGACCTAAATTTGAATAATTTGAATAATTCCAATTTAGGGCCCCCACCCGCCGCTCACGGGTGGGGGCCGGGAGGGAGAATAATAAGCCCCCCCCCCTTATTTTACTTTAGGGCACCCACCCGCCACTCAGGGGTGGGGGGTCAGACAATAGGTGCCGCCTTTATTCTAATTTAGAGCTCCCACCCACCACTCGGGGTGGGGGCCGGGGGGAGGACAATAAGGCCCCCTCCTTATTTTACTTTAGGGCCCTCACCCGCCGCTCAGGGGTGGGGGTCGGACAATAGGTCCCCCCTCCCCCACATTATTCTAATTTAGGGCCCCCATCCGCCGCTCAGGGATGGGGGCCAGTGGGGAGGACAATAGGTTCCCCCTTATTCTAATTCAAGGCCTGACCCACCGCTCAGGGGTGGGGGCGGGTGTAAGGACAATAGGCATCCACAGGCGGTATAGTGAGCAGGGGCATAATTTACTAATACTAAGTAATCTTTACTTAGTATTATTAAATTTGGCTGAAAGACCAATTTAGGTCTTTCAGTCTTTTAGTAGATAACTCCTTAATACCGTGGGCAGGGCCAGATTAAGAGCCCAGTGGGCCTGGTGCTGACAATTATTATGGGCCTAATTACAAAATCTTATTGACCAAAAACACTAAAACAGTCCTACCTCCTAAGCGTCATGTATGTGATGGGGATGGTGCTTGAGGGAAACTCATAGGATTCAGCTATGAGAAAACACATACCCTATGATAATATCACGCTTTCATCTTTCACGTAAACCCATACCCCCTAACAGCAGTGTCCAGTAAAGCAGGAAGTCTATGGATGGGGTAAAAGGGTGGGCCACTGACACAAATCACATAACCAGAACTGCCGAAAGGGGCGAACATACACAAAAAGTGGGCATGTCTGTGTCCCCATGTATCCCAGTGTCCCCTTGTCACTAGGACACTAGGGGACATTGAGAGACGTAGAAACATGGGGACACTGGGTGACTTTGCGACACGAGGGGGCACTGAGACACTGTGATACATAGGGGACACTTTAGACTTGATAAAGACCTGGATACAGGTCAAAATGTTGCAGTGTCCAATAAATGTGCTTAAATCTATCACAGTGAGTGCCTGAGATTTTTTTCTTTTATACTAGGGGACACTGAGACACTTGGGGGCACTGTGAGACATGGGGACACTGGGAGACTAGGGGACACTGAGACACTAAGGACACTGAGAAACTACGAACACTGAGAGACACCAGGGACACTGGGAGACATGGAGCACTAAGACACTCTGATACATAGGGGACATTGTGATACATAGGAGACACTTGATAAAGACCTGGGTACAGGTTGAAACGTTGCGGTGTCCAATAAATATGCTTAAATCTATCACAGTGAGTGCCTGAGATTTTTTCTTTTATACTAGGGGACACTGAGACACTAGGAGACATGGGGACACCGGGAGACTAGGAAACACTAAGATACTAGGGACACTGGCACACTACGGACACTGAGATAAACCAGGGACACTGGGAGATGGTGGGATACTGAGATGCTAGGGACACTGGCTGGGAGACATGGGGACACTGGGAGTGTCCCATGTCTCCCTGTGTCTTTCAGTGTCCCCTAGTGTCCCAGTGTCCCCATGTCACCCAGTGTGCCCTAGTGTTTGTATCCCCAGGTCTCCCAGTGACCCTTAGAGTCTATGTTCCCATGTCTCAAAGTGTTTCGATGACACTAGGGGACACTTAGACAATGGGACACTGGGAGAGACTAGGAGACTCTGGGAGACTAGAGACACAGACACCAGGGACACTGAGAGACACCAAGGACACTGAGAGGCATGGGGATACTGAGACATGAGGGACACTGGCTGGGAGACATGGGGACACTGAGAGATTAGGGGCCACTGGGAGACATGGGGCCACTGTGTCCTTAGTGTCTCAGGGTCCCCATGTTCCCCAGTGTCCCTATGTCTCCCAGTGTCCCAATGTCTCAGCGTCTCCAAGTCTCTCACCGTCCCCATTACTCGCAGGCTCGGAGCTGCTGTCTAGACTCTCTGTGCATAGCTTCTCCCCCGCGGATCATTGTGTAGAGAGAGGCAGGGAGGGAGATGCTGTAACTTCTTATCCCTGCCTCTCTTCACACAAACAGCGACCCCTACTGGCCGGCGCTGGTATTGCAGAATAATCTCTGTTTATACTGAGACAACCATTTATATTGCTGGTATTACTGCACTACCGGCACCGGCTAGGCAGTCTCAAATACCTGAGAAATACTTTTGAGAAATACCTGGCAACCATAAGAAATACATGAGAAATACCTGGCAACCCAAAGAGTAGTGTGTAAAAAAAAAAGTTTTTTTTTTTTTTTAAATGGGCCTATTCCATTGGCCTGGGCCTGGAGCTGCAGATCCATCAGCCCCTATGTTAATCCGGCCCTGACCGTGGGAATTAGGGAGTTATCTACTTATTCATTCCTCTCATTCCAATGACTGGCTAAGTAACTTAAATTTTATATGAATGTGTTATTTGATTGTTGTAAGTGTTGCAAATGCTTACAGCTGAATCATGGCTATGTTTGTATACTTTTTATTTAAACTTGTATACAGTGTAACATTCTTCATTATTCCACTGGGTAGGTATATTAGTACTTCGGCAATACTGTGCTTCGGAACTTCGCATTTCGGAACTTTGCCACTTTGGCCATTTCGTAACTTCGGCAAATCAGCTATTCGGACATTCGGAAGTATCCGAATGTCCGAATTGCCTGAAATTCGTCCGAATTGACATTAGGAACAAAACGAATTGCACATGTCTAGTATATAATTTTCTGCACTTTTATTTTTAACCTTACCCCAGATATCATTTATATTCATTGCTCAGTTTTCTTGTATTGTGTCTGAATACTAGCTGTTCATCCGGCATCTAGAATAGAACATGCTTACTTTACACCAATGATGTTGTGAACTGTGGTGTTACAACAACGTTCAAATAATTAATGCATCTATGACAATTTCACTAACACATTTTCTTGAGCACTTAGAGCCGTGTTCAGCAGTCAGCATTAGAAGTCTGTAGCAATGTATTTTGTAACCAAATTAGCTGGGGATGTATTATGTTAAAATTAAATTGTTGTCAGTTGGCATCAAGTTTTAAAAAATGGACAAAAGTAGTGTGCTGTTTTGGTCATGATGCCACGAGTACACTAAATACACCCATTTAAGGACCATTTAAGAATGGTTTCACATCTTACCTGCCGACTGACACTCAATCTTTATTATAGACTTTAAAAGTGGGACTCCTCTAAATACAAAGTGGTATCCAAAACAAAATAGGTGTATCAAATGTGGGAAGAGTATCTATCCAATAGACAGCTTCTATCAATAGACAGATATGCTTCATTATAATGATATAACTGGACAGAGAACTTTAAAAACAAGTAGTAGATGCAACAAAGGAAGACATGAATAAACAATAAACATCTAATCTACCTGAGCCCCTCTAAAAGTACTGAGAATGGACTAACTTACTTACACGTGTTCTCAATACTTAGCAAGCCCATTTGACCATTCAACATACAGTCACAAGGAGAGAAAGAAAAATACACTAAATTACATCTGTCCATAAACATTTTTGTAGACTAGAGGTAGTACTAAGCCATTGATGGTTTAAATTGGAAGATTGAGGGAGAGCAGGAACAAAAAAAGCCATAAATTGACCTTCAACCTCAATCTATACCAGTAATCTAGACAGAGAGAGTCAGTTCAAAAGGTTCCAGCTATAAAGCATGATGCATGAATGCGTACTCATCATGTGTCTCCCATACCAAAACTACCTCAACCCTATCCTTCTCCTTAATACATTCAGCGCATGAGCTGGGTTGCCATTGATCTATTCCTCCTTTTCTCTTTTATGTATGTTTAGATTTAGGGTTAACCCCTTCAAGGAGTTAGTGCTTGTAACCCAAAATTGAAGATTATGCTAGCTTTAGTGTACTAATAATCTTAATTGTAATAATGACGAATAGTTTGCATAAACTCTCTTTACTACACAGCAGCAAAGAAAACTTATAGAACAAAAGAACCAATGAATGTGTAACAAGGTATATAAGAGTTATAGTGATTCTTATATAAGTACCTCCTCTTTCTGAAAACAACATCAGCAGCAAAAAGAAAAAAGCATAGCAATAAACATCAAGAATCACAGTCCAGCAGAACAACCATCGGAATCAGCCGAAAACAAATAAGACTTCTGAGTGGATTCAAACTGAAAATAGAATGTGCAACATGTTAGACACTAGTCCAGAGATGGTGAAAAGCAAAGAGCCAACACAAAACTGAGTAAAATAATCAAACTAGCTATGATAATAATACATAACTAGAAAAAAATGATAAACAAGTACATGAACAATAAATTGTAGTCTACAACGACACAGTTAAACAAATAGCACAGAAAGAATTCAAGGCGAGAATAGCTGAAAAAGAAGTTCTTACAGAAAAGAGAACCCAAAAAAGCAAGGGAGGGAAAATGGCTGAGAAAATACTTGCCTCCTGTCAATATTAAATTTAAGATTATTAGTACACTAAAGATAGCATAATCTTTAATTTTACAACATGACAGGAGGATTCCTATTTTGCAATTTTAATGGTGAGGAAGTAAGGCAAATGCAGCATTAGAAGAAGGACGGAAATAAAAAGTACAGAACGTAGTCTCCCGAAACCAATACACAGGAAGCAAGATATCCGCCAGCGATGTACCTGCCGAAAAATGCAGATGAAGCCAACGCACTCTGCACCGAATCCGCACCAAACGAGAGGTCCACACTCACAAGAGATAAAATCCACCGAATCCACCTAGCCAGAGTGGTGACCAACACAGGATTATATGGCCTGAAGTAGGACACAAGAAGTTGTCTGGAAGTCTGTAAAAGGGAAGTAATATCTACATCAAACGCCTGAACGTCTAAAAGACTCCTAAAGGAGACCAAACAGAGAAGAAATATAAATTTGCCCCAAAGGAGAACAACACCAACATCCCAAAGCATTGAGTAGTAGGGTCTTAGACGCATCCCCTGAAGCAAACGACAAATAAGAGAGACCTTGCCAACCAGAACTTCCCGAACCGAAACGTGAACCGCCAAAATAGCTGAATGAACGGTGTTAATAGACCAATTGGATCGGCCCACAGAAAAAGAGAAACAAGAGAAAATTCAGAATGGAGGGTATAGGTGCATGCGTTGATAGAGGTTCCTTCCACGCACCAAGCGGACCAGGATGCCCAAGTGGAGAGGTAACAACATCTCATCCCTGGGGCCCAGGAATCCCACAGGAGGTCCATTGCAGCCTGCAATAGTTTGCCAACCTGCCAGGGGGAAAGAGTCAAAGCCACCTGGGGAAAAAAATCTGCCAGTAGCAAGGGGTGAGAGTTTCCATTCGGGTTTGTGAGGAGAGTTGGGTAAGGATAGCAGGAGGAGGATCTTTGCATGACACCTTCACCCGTTGCGTCCAGACATGATGGAGGGTCCACACAATCATTGTGAATGGCGGAAATGTGCAGGCCCCCTGGGCTGGCCAGCTCTGTAGGAAGGTGTCCACCACCTTGCACTATGGATCTGGCAGCCAACTTAAGAACTGCAGAGTTTGAGGCTTGTTGCGAGAAGCTGACACGTTGTCCATCCTCATCTGAATGCAATAGTCTGACTTCTCTCGGGCTAGATTGTGAATGGCAAACGAGCCCGCCAGTAGTTACAGGCATTTTATGTGCAGCGAGCGTTCATGGGCTGTCCATACGCCCTCCATGGACGTTTCTGCACTGGTCGTGCTCCAGCCCTACAAGCTAGCATTGGAATCTAGGACAAAATTCAATTTGTCTCTGAAAATGGCTCAGCCGTTCCAGACCTGCATGCTGTCTAGCCACCATGGAGTTCCTCCCAAACCTTGTCCATTACCGGCACAAGTTGATCGTAGGTGGGGCTCTGACAAAGAAACTTTGCCTTGAGGCAATATTCCCAGGCCCAGTAGTGCACTGGGCCTGGGAATATTGCCTGAGTGGAGGACGAGAGGAGTGCAGGATGTGGAGTCGATCTCGAATCCTAGGAATTGGACCGTTTCAGATGGAACCAGTGCCGATCGGTCAGTTCACCACAGTTCCACCGTAAATTGAGTGTGTTGTTGTAGTCTGAACCGCTCAAAACAGAAGAGAAGGATGTCGTCTAGGTAAACTATGCAGCAATTACCTCTGGAGCGTAGGTGTACGATCACCGGTGAAGCACCAAGGAGCAGAGCTGAGTCCGAATAGGAGGCAAGTAAATTGCCATGGTTGACCATGCCACAGGAATCGGAGAAACTGACAGCCAGAGAGATACGCACCTTTCAGATCCAGTCTTGTGAAACAGTCATTATCCTGAAGGAAGTCTCGCAAGAGGTGGATACCTTCCATTTTGAAATGGTGGTACACCACACTAGCATTGAAGTCTCGGAGGTTGATAACCATCCATGAGGAAGATGCTGCTGAAAAATCCTCCAAGATCCATGGCCTGTTGGATTGCACAGTTGAGCCTGAGCTCTCGAAGCTCCAAGTCGATAAGACAAGAGCTGTCCACTGAGAAATTGATGGCTCAAAGAGGGCTGCAGTACCCACTCACCGTGATGTTGGCCCAGTTTTGGAAAAAAGGGAAATACGGCCTGCAGTAAGGAGACATATTGGTGAATGAGTGAAGTCCTGGCTTACCTGAAGAGAAGCATGCTGCCGCCCAGCCTCGAATCCCGCGGCCTCTATCCGAACCTCTGAAGTGTGAGAACAGTTGTCGGTTACCCACTTCTGGGTAGAACAGTGGAGGTAGACCCATTTCGCTCATAAACCACGATATAAAGATACTTGCAAAGATTCAAGCAGATAGACTTAACCCATCCTAGACCCCTGGATATATCTATCAAAATAGATCTACTGAAGGGTGGACCAGGAACAAACAGAAACATATTCACAAAATAGCCCTGGCTGCACGAAGGGCTGTAGCTTTTGTCTGACTTAAACAGGGTATCCCCAACATTACAGGGGTGATAAACAGAGTCAGAGAGATACACCTGATGGATGACCTGATGGCTAGTGTGAGAGGGGTCACTAAAGCATTTCAGAAGGTCTGGGAACCATGGGAAAACAGTCCTTTTGGAAATTGATGATAACAAATGACACTTGCTTCTTAATTACCTCACTCCCCCTCCTCGCCCCCACCCCTACATGTGGCTCACATGCAAAGATAGACCCCGTACAACCCCCACTCTACCCTTCTCACTCTATATATTCTTAATTTCTCTCTATTCTCTTTACTTCTGTTTCTCTCCCATATATTTTGGGGGATAATCACTACCAAAAATTGTGACTGATAACTTGCAAACTTTATATGTAATGGTTGATGTGATGCACCCTACTGGCACTCCATGTGTTTTGTAATCGGTGAATTGCCTTACTATATGTCGATTGGATACTTATACTAATTGGATGTGAAAGTAAGATGCTATACCATTCCTGTCATTGTATATTGCATGTCATTCAGAAATAAAGAATAAAAAAAAAAAAAAGAACAGTGGAGGTTGGGTGGAGTGGGGGCCTAAAGACCATAACCATGCTGTCGACCAGCCCTGACAAAAAACCCTCTAGTGGGGTTGCTTTTGAACACCTTCTGCGTTGAGGTCTACGCCTTTATGAGAGAAGTAAACACATTCATGCGCTTGTTCAGTTCCTTGAGGAAGTCTTTACTGAAGAGTTTGCCTTGTGCCTGGGGTCCGAGCTCTTTGGCGTCCAACTCCGCCTACTTTCTGTCAATACAGAGGAGTGCTGCCAGACTGGTGTTTCCGATGAAACAGAAACATCTCTGTGACCATTCACGTATATCGTGAACCCACTGGTGTTAAAGAAGTCAGCTCTCATAAAGGCATTGTGTACCAAATACATAATACTCAAAATGGGCAGATGGAGTTCAGCAGTTTCTCCCCACCTTGACAGGGGGTCACGTCCACCTCGCACTATGAAAGTCATCATGAGTTGATCGAATTCAGGCATCTGAGCCACCTTATCCAGTAGGGAAGGGTGTGGGCATTCTGATCTCAACTGGTTGTGAACCTCTTTCTCAAAAGGTTTCTGGAGCCATAAGTGCATAAACTTAGATAAGTGGTCCAGGGGTGACCAGTCCCCAGACCTGTGGTGTCAGATGTTGCGTGGATCGAACATTTTCTGGTCTGTGAGATCCAGAATTGTGTCCGCGTCATGGGGGGAGGTCCTCATCTGTGGGACCGCCACTTGCTTCTATCTGGGGATCACCCAGGAAAGTCTCACGCACAAAAGTGGAACTAGATTTAGTCCCCGAGCCCAAATCATCATTATCAGAGCCTGAAACATCCACCTGCCATTCGCCAGGATGGACAGGGAGTGAGGGAAGGCTTGGTTCTTGTCTGAGGAAGAAGCATGACATGGGGCAGGGGCACCAGCCAAAGCTGTCTTACTACGTTTAGCGGGAGCTTTCCCTTTCAATTGCTTGGGGCGAGCGCCCTCGCCTGTCCAATGCGTCTTGCCAGTCATCGTCTTTAGTGTGGGAATCCGAGGTATTGGAGTCCGACTCATAATGGCAAAAGATGTGGAGTATTTAGCGGGGTCAGGTCCCAAGCAAAAGCCCTAGAGAGTGCCTTCTCAACAGATGCAGCAACCACAGCATTGATCATATTTTGTAAGTCCACAGGGGTAGTCTGGGAATCTTCCATCATGGTACGAATAATATTGGGGCTCACCCACACAGTATAGAAAATGCTGAGACTGGGACCCCAAGTCTTGATGTACAATAGAGGAGAACTTCAGGCCTGGGGTCAGTGTAAGCACAGATGGGTAACTCAGGTGATGGATTAATTAGGGACCCCAGCAGGGTATAGTAATGGTGGCCAAAATAATTGAAAAAATAACTGTCAACCAATGACAGAGGGACTCAACTCGGCAGCACTAGTATAAAGGGGGCTCCATCCCAGGTGCACAGGGTATGGAACCCTAAAGTGCAGGCCACAATAGTAAGCAGACAGAATACACTAACCTGAAAGACCCCAGCCAGTAGCAGGAAGGAGTGCAGCACATTGTTCAGATAAGCAGGCAATCCAGGTAAGTATTGCAGGTTGTCTTGGAGGTAGCCTCGTTTGCAAGGGGTGATGCAGAATCCACACTTGAGGGGAAAGAGGGAGGAAAGACTGCGGCACTCGCAGTGCTAAAAAAAACAAAATAGCCGCTTGGATCTCGAGAGATTCAAGATGGCTGTCATCCGGGAAGGCCGTGTCCTGGCTAGCGCCGAGCACCAAAAGCAGGCGCGGCAGTGAGGTAGGTCACGGATGGATGGGGCCGAGGGTAAACCCAGTGGGAAGGATACAAAGCAGCGTGAGGGCTGAAAAACAAGCTAAAGGAAGCACCAATCCCAACAGCACACAGAGCAGGCCAGGGGAGCAGGGAGACCCATAGCAACACAAAAGGATAAGGAAAGTGCAGTAAGATGCAGAATAGATGGAATACACAAAAAGCACAAAGTTAAACAGTAACAGGAAAGGACAAAATAACAGGAATAGGTAGATAAAACATAAAACCAAACTAATGAGCCATAATAATGAGTATTATACAATAATAGAGAAGAGCCAAAAACTCTGACCTGTCTGCTGAAGGAGCAGCAAAGAAAGAGGAGGTGCTTAGGTCACCATGGCTCTTATATACCTTGCTACAGATTCACTGGTTCTTTTTTCTATATGTTTTCTTTACTGCTGTGGAGCTAGGAAAGAGAGTTTCTGCATAATAGGAAGCCTCCAATCATGTTGTAAAATTGTATAATCGCTTATGGAAGGTTATTTCAAGTAGTGAGGAAAAGAATCTTCATTAAAAAATGTGGTAATAAAAAAACAAACAAAACAAACTGTTGTACTTCAACAGCATCTTCTAGAAAGTTTAATATGCATCCGTGGAAATAGTCTTCTTCGTGGCTGATATTACATTGCTGCAATCATAAAATTGCAATAGATTTGCCATAGTGATTTTTCTTGGATGATTAATTTATTTCTTGAATCTTTCTATGTAATATATACATGTAAAAATCATTATAAAAAATGTGACAGTTATTTTACAAGACAATGAAAGCAAGGCTGTTGAAATACAGCACATACTATTTCTGATTTATTAGCTCAAGGTATAACCTACCCTTTTCAAATTGTATATAATAATATTTTATGTAGAAAACAAAACTGTATTTTATCTACAACTTTCTTTATAAAGAACACCATATAAAAAGCATGTCACAACTACACTGCAGGCACAATATATTTATAGAAAACCATGTGTACTGTTTAAAATGCAATGCGTTGTGATTTCTATTTAATGATTAGGTAATTAGTGGTTGGCTGGTAAGTGGAATGGAAGGTTGATACTATTTGTGCTTTTCCAATATAGAATTTATTCTGGAGGAGGGAGCATTTTTCACTATATGTATATAAACTGATATATGTATTACCACACATGGTCAGTGAAATATCTGTCCATATATACCCGATGTCTATATATATATATATATATATATATATATATATATATATATATATATATATGGGATTGTGTTTATTGAACTTGGTTGAATATCTTGAGAAAGGTTGTGTGGTTAAAAGTATTTTAGGGCACCTTTTTGAGTAGCCTCTGCTGTTAATATCCTGACTCATGGATACAAATTCAGATGCAACACAACAGAAACTCTTTTAGAAAATGAATTTTGTAACTTCTTGCTTTTCCTCCTCGTTGATGTTGCTTGATGAATATGTTGTATGGATGGCGAAGTCAGACTCCTCTTTTGCTGTGATTATAGTTCTGTGCATGGCGTGATTTCAGATACAATATTTTTGGGGAAAAAATTGTACTGTATCCATGTGGGCTCTTAATGGAATAAAAAGGAAAAAACAATCAACATTGTAGTATTATTGAAAGATTATATTACTATGCCCTTTTACTGCTGAACATGTGAATACATGCCCCAGACACAAATAATATGAATAAAATCAAAACCTTATTTGACGATCATAATTTGTACAGAGCTATTTATTGGATTACAACGTGGGTATATCTCTTGTGTGTAATTTAAGGATAGTCATAAATATTACCAAAATAGCTTAGCATCAAGACCTTCTGCAATATCACTAATAAAAATATTAAAGAGAATGGGCCCAAGTACAGATCCCTGAGGTACCCCACTGGTGACAAGCCCATGCTTTGAATATACTCTATTGACTACACTAGCTTTTAAATTTAAGTGGCAACACATTTTAGGCTTTAAAGGACCACTATTCACCCAGACCACTTCAGCTCAATTGAGAAATGCTTTCCTATGGACTGATTGAATGCGCGCGTGGCTCATGCCGCGCATGCGGCGGATGACATCGGAAGAGGGAGGAGAGTTCCCCAGCGCTGAGGGAGCCTGGCGATGGAGAAAGGTAAGAGTTTAATCCTTTCAGCCCCCCAGAGCCCAGTGGGAGTGGAACCCTCAGCGTGGGGGGGACCTAAAGACCATTTAGTGCCAGGAAAATGAGTTTGTTTTCCTGGCACTATAGTGGTCCTTTAAAGGATTGTTAATCTTCCTTAAATTAATGCATGTAATGTTTGTCCTACTTTTTCTTGAAAGCTCCGCTCTAAGGTTTTGCTATGTCAGAGTGTAGTTGCCCAAAGGCTGATATTTTGGTACCTTGTTTTTATTATTTATAAAAGATAAGGGCAAGGGAGGAAAGAGGCTAGAGACCCAATGTGGGGGCCTATAGCCCCAAATCTTTTCTCACTGACAGGCTCCATTGCTCTCTGTCAGGGGAGGGCTGGCAGCCTTAGGCCTGGGGAGAAAATCCAGTCAAGTGGCCCATTGCATCAAGGGGAGAGTAAAAACACCTTTTGCATATGATTGAAAGGGGGAGGCAGTCACCTAAACATACACACTCACTGACTGGCACACACACACAGACAGACATACTGGCATGCACACACAGACATACTGGCACACACACAGACATACTGACACATACAGACATACTAACACACACACACAGAGACATACTAACATACTAACACACACAGACATACTGACACACACACAGAGAGACATACTGACACACATAGACATACTCATACACACACACACACACACACACAAACCAAACACTGAAGAATGGAGATAGGGACTGGGGAAGGGGATAGGGGCAGATGAAGGGGGACAGGGCTGAGGAAGCGGGGCAGGGGCTGAGAAAGGAGGACAGGGCTAAGGAAGGGGATAGGGGCTGAGGAAGGGGGGAAGGCATGAGGAAGAGGGCCAGGGCTGAGGAAAGGGACAGGGGCCAAGCAAAGGGACAGGGGCTGAGGAAGGGGATAGGGGAAGGAGGACAGGGCTGAGCAAGGGGACAGGGGCTGAGCAAAGGGGACAGGGGCTGAGCAAAGGGGACAGGGGCTGAGGAAGGCGGACAGGGGCTGAGGAAGGCGGACAGGGGCTGAGGAAGGGGGACAGGGGCTGAGGAAGGCGGACAGGGGCTGAGGAAGGGGACAGGGGCTGAGGAAGGGGACAGGGCTGATGAAGGGGATGGGGCTGATGAAGGGGATAGGGGCTGAGGAAGGGGGGCAGGGCTGAGGAAGGGGGGCAGGGCTGAGGAAGGGGGGCAGGGCTGAGGAAAGGGACAAAACCAAAAAACCAAAGTGTTATCTCCCCTCCCTGTGTCTTACCTTAGGCAAGAGAGGACTGAACATACCCCATTTGCAATACCTTGGGTTGTCTACTATTAAAAAAAAATTGAAACGCAAGCCTTATATTTGACTCTGTAACTTTTGAAAACACCATATAAAACCCGTACATGAGGGGTACTGTTATACTCAGGAGACTTTGCTGAACACAAATATTAGTGTTTCAAAACCGTAAAACGTATCACAACAATTATATCGTCAGTGTAAGTGCCATTTGTGTGTGAAAAATGCAAAAAATTTCACTTCCACTGACGATGTCGTCGTTGTAATGCATTTTACTGTTTTGAAACACTAATATTTGTGTTCAGCGAAGTCTTCCGAGTAAAACAGTACCTCCCCATGTACAGGTTTTATGGTGTCTTGGAAAGTTACAGGGCTAAATATAGTGATAGCAAATTAAATTCCCTGAACTTTCGATCTGGGTTGTCAGGCAGGTCCTGCAAATTGTAATTAATAAAATGACCTATTTATGTAAAATTATTACATAAATATATACATAGAATTAATATATATATATATATATATATATATATATATATATATATATGTATATAATTTTTTTTAATTATTTTTATTTTTATATAGGTATATATAGTGATATATACGTATATACTTATTTATATAGATAAATATATTATTTCGTTCTACATGTATTTTGATATCAATATATATATATATTAATTTTACAATACAGTTAGAACGAAATTACACAAGTATATATTTTTTATTTATTTTTAAAAAAATTTTTAACGTGTTTACATTTTTTTTATTATATATAAATATATATATAATGATAATTATATATATATATATATATATATATATATATATATTTAGCCAATATCATTGTATGTGTACTTTGATATGAATATATATCTAATTATATATATATATTAATATTAAAATACACTTAGACAGTGTATGTGTATTTATGTGTGTGTATATATATATATATATATATATACTTAGATCTATGATCTAAGTATATTTTATTTAATTTTACACTGTTTTAATTTTTTTTTTCAGACAGCAGGGGGAGTACCTGTCATTACAGGCACTCCCCCTGCTGGCTATGCCGTCCATGTGATCGCGAGGTCCTCGCAAGGACCTCGCGATCACATGGCCCAGAGGGGCCGAAGAGGAAGGAGGGGGACTCCCTGGACTCCCAGGTGAGTCCCCATACGGCGACCGGGTAAGTACACAAGATCGCAGGGCATTCTATGCCGCGTTTAGAGCCGCTTCCTTAAGGATGGCATAGAGCGCCCTGAGGTCTTAAGGGGTTAAATAAAGGCCATAGTTTAATTTAGTATAGTGAAAGATAGTGGTCACACTAGATGTAGTTCAAAACGTTCTGTAATTATGAGTCAAACAATTTGCTGAGCATCTTTCGTGGAATGCAGTCCTCAGCAATTGGATTATTAAAAGATGACTGTTTCAATAGCACATGATTAAAGGAACACTATAGTCACCTAAACAACGTTAGCTTAATAAAGCAGTTTTAGTGTATAGGTAAGGGGTCGGCAACCTCTGGCACGCGTACCGCGAGTGGCACGCGAGGCTGCCGACCGATCTTCACTGATGGAAAGCACAGAGGAACTTGCGCGGCGGCGGAACTTCCAGCATCTTGTGATCTGGAGTAACGACTATTAGGCTGTTCTTACCACGGCTCCAATGACGTCCGCCACTGTGTGCACTGCCTCCAGTCCTCGCACTCTGTCAACAGCATCCTCAGCCCCGCCTCGTACCTAACCTTAAGCACCTCCATCTACTGCCTGGCCTTTAGCTCCGCCTCCTGTCCAGGCTTCAGCCCTGCCTCCAGCCCTCCCACTCTGTTAGCAGCATCCTCTGCCTGCATGAGTTACTTAGAGGTCACACCAAGCAAATCTGTGTGGGGCTTTTTGTTTATGTAAGCCAATCAGAAACAGTAGTAATCATAGGGGTCACTTCTGCTGCTGACTTGTCTCACAAAATCAGATTGCCTTTGTAGCGGAGAGGTAGTATAATCCACAGTATCTCCACTGGGTAACAGGAATAGCATAAAATAATCCAAGGAAATAAATACAGCATACAATAATCCCGGTAGCGTTGTAAGAATCCTTCCCTCCCAAGAACTAGATGACACATAGGCTGGGAGTCAACTGAGGTTTTATTCACAGGGCACTGTATTTATGGGATTCCCCATGCAAGGGGTTTCCCTACTGACATTCCAGGGGTGGTACAGTAGGGGACTACATGGGGTAACAGGAATAGCATAAAATAATCCAAGGAAGTAAATACAGCATACAATAATCCTGGTACCGTTGTAAGAATCCTTCCCTCCCAAGAACTAGACGACACATAGGCTGGGAGTCAACTGAGGTTTTATTCACAGGGCACTGTATTTATGGGATTCCCCATGCAAGGGGTTTCCCTACTGACATTCCAGGGGTGGTACAGTAGGGGACTACATGGGGAACTGAAGAACACATACATTTCTCCCATTATGCACTGCTGCACGAGAGGGATACTCCCACTAGAATATACAGCTAAGTGGATTATCCCTCCGTGCAGCAGAACTTACATTTTACATTAAAATACATAACTTCCATAATATTCCCTTCATTTAAACGAATGGACGTTCGATAGATAGCTGGGGTCTGAGTGCACAGTTCGTGAGAATACCGCTCAGATCCCAGCATAACTAACTGAACGCCGCGCGAAGCACACATTATTTCCTAGTTACCTTTAAAACACCGATTGATTGTAAGGGAATAACCTACCGAATGACCTGGGCTCCCGAATGGCCTGGAAGTCCAGCAGTGTTCGCACCGTCGAGTAGCCGATTTTAGTTCCAGGCGCTCGACGACCAAACACAGCTGGGCTAACAAAGGATCCAAGATGGCCGACCACCACGTGGTCGGTAGCCGAACGACGGCCGCCTAGGAACACACTTAACTACCGATTGCAACAATGTTGCAATTGGTTAATGGGCGCCACACGACCTCCTGTGTGTGGTCGTCCATTCGGTAGTTTATTCGTTTCACGAACAGTGCTGAAACTCACTGTTCGTGAAACTACAGTAGGAATGCTGGGGTTTTCATGCCACCAGCATATGAATGCTCTCATTCGCCTGAAATGAAAATACAGCAATATGCTTGGTTCTCACAGCTTAACAAAGGGATATAAACATATTCCTATAGTGATAGTCTTAAGTAGCTAGTTTTGCCACAATGCTCCCCCAAAACCAAGCCGGCATACACAGTCTGATCCCAACAGATCAGCTTGGGGATGTCCGGAGGAGCACTCACGAATCACGGTTCCAGGTCTGTTTGTCGGGATAACCCGTCGACGTTGCCATTTTGCTTCCCAGGGCGGTAATGGTTGGTAAAGTCAAAAGCAGCAGCCTGGCATTGTCACCTGACACCCTGTTCAGCCACACCAACGGGTTGTGATCCGTGAGTAATGTAAACGGTTGTCCATATAAATAGGGCTGCAGTTTTTTGAGGGCCCACACCACAGCCAGGCACTCCTTTTCGATGGCGGCGTGACTGACTCACCTGGGTAAAAGTTTTCGCCTTAGGTAAGCTACTGGGTGTTTGCCGCCATCTGCTCTGACTTGGCTCAGTACTGCTCCCAATCCAAACATAGAAGCGTCTGTATGGACAACAAAACGTTTAGTTGGATCAGGAGCAGAAAGTACAGGTGAGTTAACAAGTGCCGTCTTGAGCTGCTGAAATGCACAGTTCACACTCTGGGGCCCAGACTACTATCTTGGGGAGGTTCTTACGAGTTAAATCAGTGAGGGGTTTGGCTAGGGTGCTGTAGTCGGCCACAAATTTCCTGTAGTACCCTGCGGTCCCTAGAAAGGCGAGTACTTGTGTTTTGGTGCGAGGGGTTGGCCACTGGGCGACTGCCTCTATTTTAGCAGGTTCTGGCTTTTGTCTAGGAGCTTGTCTATCCGGGGCATAGGGTAGGCATCCGAGGTCGTCTTATCGTTGAGCCTCCGGTAGTCTACACAGAAACGGGTCGTCCCGTCCCGTTTCGGTACTAGTACTACGGGGGAGGCCCAGGGGCTGTCAGAGTGTTCTATCACCCCTAACTGTAGCATTTCCTCAATCTCCTTCTGCATACTTTCTTTGACGGCTTCTGGTATGCGGTAAGGAGTTTGGCGAAGAGGAGGCTTATCTAGGGTTTCTACCTTGTGCGTGGCTAACGGGGCATAGCCGGGTAGATTGGAAAATGTGGCTCCCTTTTCCTGTATTAGCCTTTGCACTTGGGTTCACTCCTGGGGGTTTAACCGCTCTCCTAACTGTACTTCTCCCAGGTCTCCGCTCTGGCCCTCTTGGTCTAGGAGATCTGGGAGTGGCAAATTATCAAAGTCCTCGGTGGCAGGGGCACAGATCGCGGTTACCTCTTCGGTGCGCTTGTGGTATGGCTTGAGCATGTTCACATGGAGCATGCGTTTGCCTCCCGCGCCTGTGACCGGGCCAATCACATAGGTGGTATCACAGATCTGTTCTACCACCTTGTAAGCCTGCAGCTTATCTTTGTGGACTGGTCGCAAGATAAGTACTTTTTGCCCCACCTGAAAGCTGTGGTCCCTGGCTCCCTTATCGTACCATCTGCGCTGTCATTGCTGGGCTACCTGGAGATTGTCTCGTACGGTCTGGGTCAGCATCTCCAGACGTTCCCTGAATTCTAGCACATAGGGTACGATGGGGGTGCCGTTAATTAGTCCCTTCTCCCTCCCAGTGTTCCCGGATTAAATCGAGGGGGCCCCTCACTCTCCACCCGAATAACAATTCGAATGGAGAGAACCCGTTGGATTCTTGGGGTACTTCCCTATAAGCAAATAACAAGTGGGGTAGAAACCTTTCCCAGTCCTTCTGCGTGTCTATGAACGTACGGATCATCTGTTTAAGTGTTCCGTTAAACCGTTCACAGAGCCCATTGGACTGGGGGTGATAAGCGGAGTTCAAGATTTGTTGAGCTGATTTCCAGAGCTGATGTGTTACTTCAGCGGTAAACTGAGTGCCCCTATCCGAAATAATCTCCCGGGGAAATCCTACCCGGGAGAATATTCGCATCAGGGCCTCTGCTACTGTTTCTGCATGTACGTTTGTCAGGGCTACTGCCTCAGGGTATCTGGTGGCATAATCCACCACGGTCAAGACATATTTCTTGCCGGAAGGGCTGGGCTTGGCTAGGAGTCCTATAATATCTACTGCCACCCTACTGAAGGGTTCCTCAATTATGGGCAGAGACCGGAGACGGTCTCCCCTCTTCCCTACTCTTTGGCAGGTATCACAGGTCTGGCAATATCGTTTAACGTCCTGTGAAATACCTGGCCAAAAGAAGTTCTGGGTCAGCCTGTGTTTAGTATGGCTGATTCCTAAGTGCCCAGACAGGGGAATATCATGGGCGATAAGTAATAGTTCTAACCTTTACTTTCGAGGCACTATTAATTGTTTGATGAGTAAAGGTATGGATCCGGACACTACTTTTTCTGCATGATGATACAGTAGTCCTTTGTTCCAGATATACCTTTCCCCTTCTAATCCTGCCTGATCTTTATCTATACTGTTTTTGTATACCTGCAGAGAGGGGTCTAGGGCCACTTAAGATCCAAACTCTAGGGGGCTCGCCCATGGCATGACAGTGGGCATGGGGGGGTCATTGCTTACCTGAGCCTCAGAGTGGTTAGGCGTTGCTGTGGTGCGGGCCTGTTGCCGGGTCACAACCGGGTAGGCTTCCTGTATGGTGGACTGAGGAACAAATGTTGAAGTCAGCTCCCCCAGGTCGTTGCCCAAAATAACATCAGCTGGCAAGTCCTGCATCATCCCCACATACACATTCCCGTGCCCCGCTCCCCAATTCAAGTGCACCTTGGCCGTAGGTACTTTGTAAATCGCTCCCCCTGCTACCTGTACAGCAACGCAGTCTCCAGTTAGATTGGGTTTAGGTACCAAATGACTTCGGACTAGTGTTAAGGTAGCCCCAGAGTCACAAAGTCCTTGTACCTTTTTCCCCTCCATATGTACCTCCTGGCGGTGCCCTTGCCGGTTATCTGAGGGGGCCTGGATGGGGTTCACCTCAGGCAGTGTTCCTAGTGGTTCTTCCATGGGAGTGACAGCCTCGGTTGTTCCTTACTGTCAGTAAATGTTTTTGTGTGTATCTGTGAATGTGTGTGTCTGTCGGTCAGTAAATGTGGGTTTGTGGGTGTCTGTGAGTGAGTGTGTCTGTGAGTGTCTGTCAGTGAGTGTGTGTCTGTCAGGGAATGTGGGTGTGTCTGAGTGAGTGTGCTTGTGTGTCAGTGCGTGTGCGTGCCTGTCAGTGCATGTGCGTGCCTGTCAGTGCATGTGCGTGTCTCTCAGTGTGTGTGAGTGATTGTGTGTGTCAGATTGTGTCAAATTAGTGAGTGTGTGTATGTCAGTGTATCTGAGAGTGTGTGCTTGTCCGTGAGTGGGTGTGTCAGTGTGTGTCTGTCAGTCAAAATGCGTGTTAGTCTTTAACAGGAAGAGGTGTCACCTTGGCAGGAAGGTGTGGGGCAAATTTAAATTAGGGGGTTCCTGAGTTCCTCATGCTTAGGGCAGCACAAATCCAAAATACACCACTGGATACATTAAATACACTCCGTACATAGTTTGAGACCTGTGATAAACTTAAATGCTGTAAATTTCTATGCAGGTTCACACCATAACATAGTTAGCGTCAGTGAGAGGCTGAGCGTGTAAACTGAGCACGCTCAATCACTGTCCTAATCTCTGGTATGGCATGAGATGGAAGCATAGTTCTGTCTTCTCTGCATCATCATTGGAGGCCGGGTTCCTGGGGACCAACCTGCTTTGCTAAATGGTGAGAAAACCATTAAGTAGTGACAAGGATCCTGGCACCCACGGACTCCACTTAGATACATAGAAATGGTTATGGTTGTTGTTTTTGGGGACCCTGCTGGGCCCTGCCACATTCTAAATCGATATTGCAGTAGCCCCTCCTACTGGCGACAAGCGGTGATTGTGGCTGACACGGTCCTGGAGAGGGCTTCGAGCATATTGCTGCCTGGTGAGCACCAGGGAAGGGAGAGGCAACCGATCTCCCGCCTTGAGCAGCCTGTGCTGAGCCAAACACCAGGTAGTGCCCTGGCATGTTCTTTGTTATTACGTTTTTAAAATATTCTCAACAAGTTTAAATGTAATTAGAAATTACATTAAAAAGAAAAAGATAAATCAATACGATTAGTTGTCTTAAAACTGACCTTCTTTATTTGTTGTTATCATTAATAAAACATTTAACTTTCTTAACCATGCATTCCTCTGACTATATTGCCGGCACACCAAAGGACGTCAAAGTTTTACTTCGGCACACCACTACCAAAAGGTTGCCTACCCCTGGTATAGGTCATGCCTCTCAGGTTTCACTGCTCAATTCTCTGCCATTCAGGAGTTAAAACCCTTTGTTTCTGCTTATGCAGCCATTGCCACACCTCCCCTGGCTATGACTGACGCAGCCTACATGAAAAAAAAAAAACTGGTTTCACTTTCAATCAGATGTAATTTACCTAAAACAGTTTTATCTCTTGCTCTGTAAATTGAACTTTAATCACATACAGGAGGCTCTTGCAGGGTCTAGCAAGCATTAGTATAGCAGGGGATAAGAAAATCTAAATTAAACAGAACTTGCAATAAAGAAAGGATAAACTTTAGATGACTCTGTACAGGAAGTGTTTAGGAAGGTTGTACAAGTCACATGCAGGGAGGTGTGACTAGGGTTCATAAACGAAGTGATTTAACTCCTAAATGGCAGATAATTGAGGAGTGAGGCTTCAGGGGCATGTTTTATACACCAAAACTGCTTCATTAAGCTAAAGTTGTTTTGGTGACTATAGTGTCCCTTTTAATGGCCAAACCACCATCCGGTTATACATCGCTTTATATAGATGCCATCATTCTAAAGTAGACCTGTATGATATAATAAAATATATTTAATTCCATAATATGCTACTGACTCTAGATACATAGTCTAGGCACTTAGCCTCCAGGCACCCTGTGTGAAACTTAGAAGTGAGAACGCCCAGTATATAATGCAAATATGTTTGTATGACAGATTTTCTCTTGTGTGTATATGATGGTCTTCTATGTTTTTGCAATGTCAAAATGTATGCGTTTATGTTGGTGATTCAGTATGTGCACATGTGTCTGTCACTGAGGGAGATATATACAAGTCTTTTGTACTAAAAATGGAATAAAATCACTATGGAACCGAGTAAAAACTGCATTCTATTGATGATTACTCAAATTTTACAATTTACACCACACAAAACCGTGATAAATCTCCTCCAGTGTTTCTATGTATGTCCAATGTCAGTTTGTATATTTGTGACTGTTTCTGTTCTGTCATTATGTGTAATAATGGTGTTATGTAAAAATTTCAATACATCTCAGACTACTCAGTTGATTATCCCTTCCTCATTTAAACTGGAAAAGCCAAATTAAAAATATGCTCCAATCTAAACTCCTTTACAACCTTTGCAATGTTAACCCCCCCTCCCCCTTTTCCAATTGACAGGGGATGAATTCTGCTAACAAAATGTAAATTTACCTTCATAGCAGCTTGGAAGTGAGAGTATGCCATCAAAGCATTGGGATGTAGCGGGATAACTGCAAGTCTGGTTAAGGCAGAAAAAGGTGACCGCTTCCAAGTGATGCACAGTGCCTGGTATTTCATGGACCCAACGTTTACTACCCTTATAAACTACTCGACTTCGTTGTGCTGGTATTTTACATCTTGCTGTGTGAAATGCAATAACAGAAATTAATAATAAGGAATATATATATATATATATATATATATATAAAAACTTAAATGCATGCACTAGTTAATTAGACTAATATTTGCTTCAATGCAATACCTACGTAGAACTACTTTTCATCTATTGTAACATATGGTAAAATATGTAACCTGACCCAATAGTTTGTATTATCACACCCCTGCCTTTTAGATCAGATTAAAATTGCCAAGGGCCGGATGGCAGATGCTCGATTGCCTAGAGACCCGACCCAATTGTCTGTTATGTCAGTGAAGGCGGATGAATGTTTTGTGTGTGTTAGCTGAATCTTACGTGTGTGGTAAATAAGGGTGTGCATGTGTAGTTGCTGAGTGTGTGGTGGTTGTGTTTGTGCTGTCTGAATTTTGTGTGTGGTGGCTGAGTTTTTTATGTATGTGGTGACTGAGTTTTTGTGTGAGGACTAGGCGGAATATCGTGTTGGGGGCTAAGCTGTGTGTGTGTGTGTTTTGTTAAATTTTAGATATGATATGTGTTTTAGTGAAGGGCATTTTGAAAAGGATCTCTGGTGATCCAGTGGGGGAGAGTGTGGTCTGCACCTCTGTTAGCTGCAAATCACTTTAAGCACCTCCTCACAGTCTAACATTAATTTATTGAATACCATGGCTATCTGTACAACCTTTTGGGCTTCCCTATGTCTGATATGTATCAGCTGGCACTCTCAGTCTATACTTGCCTGTCTATTGGGAGAAACAGTATTATTTCAGTCAATGGGCAGCAAGTGACAGGGTGAGAGCCTCATATTCCACATTTTCATCCAATTACCAGTTGCCTCGCAAACATTCCTCCTACTGGATGGTGGATGATAGATGGAAGTCAGGGGGCAGCATCCATAGGTGTAGCAGTGTTCTTTTAATATATGTTGCAAGAAATGTCTTTGAAATGTGATATTTTAGCCAATTGTTTTTGCAATCTGATACTGTACTCTACAAAGCTCATCATATTCAACAATAAAATCTGTCAAATATTCTACTGTTATATGTGCATAGCCCTTACTCCTCATCCTCAGACCAGAATGAGCTGCTATTTGAAATGCAAGTGATGTTAAATGATTTATACTGAGCAGCATTGCCTGATTTAACTTAACATAATTGAGCAGATAATTATTTCACAGAATATAGATGTTAGACGTGGGTGGATTTATGAATGCTTTGCTTGTCTCATGAAGTATGTATGCAGTCAGGATGTAATACTATCTTTGACCAGGCATAAATATATTCTAGATTTGTTTCTTTACAAACTGAAATTCTTCTGAGTTTGGACTAATTGGGTGTTTGTTTGAAAAGCCAAACTGTAGCCAAATCACTATCCAAATGACATACAATGGCAGAGCATGTTCAATTTGATTCTGAATTCCACTTGTGGCATGAAAAGAGAGAAGATTGATTTAAAAAAATAAAAATAAAAGATGACTTATGGCTAGAGGACACTCACTAAATGTTGATTTTTATTCCCAGATGATGTAAGAAATAAGCAATAGAGGGGAAAAAGGGGCAGTAAAAAAAATATATAATTATATATTTTAAAAAATATAGGTATATATTTTGCAGCACACTGGCCTATTTTGTAACATCTGATTTAGCTTTCCGCATTGTTTTTTGTTGCAGTAATTCAGTGAAGCAGGTAGAAATGGTTTGGATTAAACAGATTTTCTCATCGTGAACAAGTCTAATATTGTCTGTTGCTCTTCTTATTTGTAAATTCATGCAATAAAGTTTTTTGCATCCATATCCCCATCCTGGTGTTGGATTGAGATCAATCCTGAATTAGAGGCTGGTGAGAGGTCTAAAAAGCTGAAAATTCAGTATTCAGCAAAAATAGATGTTTGTGTAGAAAAATTGATTGGTGGATTAATTACGGTAACTTTACTGTGTTTGAAGAACACCTGAGAAACACTACACTACACACAACATGCAGCACTTGCACACTTGTACATCATTCACTGAACAGAAAAAAAAATGAAAAGGATTTTCTTAATTAGGTATTAGGTGGCTAGTAGTAGGCACAGCACTAACTATAGTCACCAGTCTAACACTAGTCACCCATTTAGACTGGAAGAAAGAAGATTTAGTCTAAGGCAAAGGAAAGTTTTTTGTTGATTTTTTTTTTTTCTGGTAAGAACAATAAGGATGTGGTATTCTCTGTCTAAAGGATGTCGTTTTACCAGTCTGTACAGATGTTTAAACAACAACTGGATAAATATTTTTTAAAAACATAATAATCAGGGATATCATTTTTAATATGTGGGATAGCAGCTTATTGATCCAAGAAGGGATCTGACTGTCCTTCTCGGGTTAAGAAGGATTCTTTTTCCTAGTTTGTTGCATAATTGGAAACAGCTTGAGACTTTTTTTTTTTGCCTCTATTTCAATCAACAGCAAAAAGACATGTGTAAATATGTAACTAGAATGAATGAAACAGGCTCCCACTCAAATGTTGTGCTAGTGCCACTGTAGCAGTAGCTACGCAAGATGAATTTGTTTAGTTTCTTTTTGCTTTTCACTGAAGAACATTTCTCCTCAAACATGTAATTTCTTTCTATAAACACTTAGCAAACTGTCAAACTGTAAATCAATGATTTCAAGTTGGTGTTAAATAGCCGTGGCTAGCAATGGGCACAGCACTAACCGTAACCACCAGAATTTTGTTTCTACAAACTCTTGAAGGAACACTTAATTAAAAAAAAAAAAAATATATATATATATATATATATATATATATATGTGTGTTCGGGGCATTCTCATATGATATAGAATAAGATGGGTTGTAGAGATGTAGCTTTAGGAATAATCGGTTGAGGTGTGCCGAAACCGACGTAGGCTGTAGGCCGGTAAAAAGTGGGAAAAAAGAGACATATTAATGCAAAACATTGTACAGGATCATAGTGCATTTGTTAACCATCAGTTATACATTTTAATGAAAGCTTCCGAATTCCTGAATCGGCTGTGGTATGTAAGTCGGATAAGCCTATGATTCCCAGCGGCCCCGTGTCTTAACGTGTGCGGGGATGTCTTGGCTATAGGCTGTGTAAGCTGCTCCTATCCTAAAGGAGTGCCTTGAGTAGTCGCTAGGGTTTAGTTCGAGCCCGGTGAATGAGTAGGTGGACATAGTGCATGAACTTACCTGTGGTAAGGACAGTATCATACAGCGACAGTAATGGTTCAGCGGTGCATATGGTGGCATGCCCAAGAACGTAATCAGTACCTTAACCGGGCATCCCGCATTGCTTGTAAGGTAGTAGGTTATATGCACTGGTTCACCCATCTGACTCATCTTAGTTTTAGGAAGGGACCAGACATAGTGGTCTGTGTGTTTTAGAAGATAAGAGGTGAACAGGCACTCTTGTTTATGATGTTGGCCGCTGATAGCGAGTTATTGTTTTGGCCTGAGAAAGCCGTTAAAGGCTAGATAGGTAGCAGTTTTGATAACTGCATTGGTGCGTGGTTCGAGTGGTTCTGACATGGTTTGAACATTGTATGTCTATGGCCAGTATTTAGTTTTAGCGGGCACGTCCGCTTGGCTATGTCTCTAAGGTATGGATGGGGTAGGAGGATAGGAACCCTTGTTGTTTGGGAAGGAGAAATACGTATAGTGTTGAATGCCTGTGAGATAAAGTTTAACCGTGTTGTGCGAGAATTATTAACTTAAGGTGGCAAAAAGAGACGAAGGCCATACGTGGTGAAACCTCAAACCAGCTAAGTGATGGTCCGACATGAAACATATTGTATAAGTGGTAAACCCTGTAGCAAGCGTGTTGAGTGCTGGTGGACAAGGCCAGTTTAGTCAGAGCCCGGCTATGTTGACGAGGTTCATGTAATCCATGACCTTGACCATAAATGACCCCCCTGCCATGGCGGCTGTCACGGCAGCTGCCACAATAGTTTACCATTACGTGTGGTTAAGAAAGTCCACCATATGGGTAGGTCTGCCATGGCTTGGTTGTCTAGGGACAGCCCCTGATCATCATTCGGGAGGGAGGAAAAAGCAAAGTGGTCTGACATGAAAGCGCGGCCTGCGGTATGATGCGCATGGCAACATTTAAGGAACCTGGTAGGGATTGTAGTTCCGTGTGGTTGCAAGTACCAAGCAGGAGGTGGTAATTGGTGTTGTTGTGACTGTTCCTATTTCTCACGTGGTAACTTGTTGGCATGGATGCCGAGTCAAGTTGTATGCCCAGGAATGTAACGATAGTGTCTGGGTCTTCTGTGACCTTAGGGAATACTGGAACACCCAAGTGTTCAGACATACTAGACATCCTTGAAGCTTCTAGAGGGAAAGGCATTCCCTTTGACCAACAAGAAATCATCTCGGGAGTGTATGACTGTGGGGCATCTGGATACGTTTAACCACAACCAGTAAAGAGTTCAACGAATATATTGAAGATTGTGGACTGCTCTTGACCCAAAAGTTAAGCGGGAGAAGAAATATATAACTGCTGCCCATAAATGCCCTGTAAGTGCCAGTGCAGGGTGGATGGTGGCAGTCTGAAATGCGTTTGTGATATCAGTTTTACTTAACCAGGCTCCCCCCCCCCTGCTTGAGTGATAGTTGTAATGGTATGAACAATGGTGGCATACTGTAATGAAAACTCCTCGGAGGGTATGAGGGAGTTGAGACTATGGGGTAGCCGAGGCATGAGGTGCAGATAAGTCTATGATCAGTTACAGTGTGAGGGAAGATTCCCTGTGACAATCCCAATGGGATTGCGCCACACTGTAAATGGTGTAGATCGGAGAGGCCCATGTAGAAATCTTTCTGCCATTTCTTGGGCCATGAGTGTAATGCCAGCTGTTGGATGCTGCTGCGATGACTGCAAGTTAGGGCATTTTGGATTCCCCCAAAAGTATATGGCAAGGCCTTTAAAATCAGAGATTAGGAAATAAACTAAATGTCTGGAAGGGTGAGGAGTTAGAAAGTACTGGAAATGCATAATGTTTACAGATGTGAAGAAAGGCTCAGGGTACATTTACTGGGACACATGGTTTTTGCATGTGCCCTGACATATTGAGAACATATCTGCAACAGTCTGCATGCACTTAAACTACATGTGCCAACATGGAAATTGTTGCAAATCTGGGATTTGCCAAAGAGAATGAGACGACCCAATTTGTCTCTGGTAGTTCTCTACGTACAGGTAGAGAGAAATCCTTACCACCTGCTAGTGATGCACCGAACGGTTCGCCGGCGAACAGTTCCTGGCGAACATAGCGTGTTCGCGTCCGCCGCGGACGGCGAACACATGCGCGGTTCGATCCGCCCCCTATTCGCCATCATTGAGTAAACTTTGACCCTGTACCTCACAGTCAGCAGACACATTCCAGCCAATTAGCAGCACACCCTCCCTAGCAGACCCTCCCACCTACTGGACAGCATCCATTTTAGATTCATTCTCAAGCTGCATGCTTAGTGAGAGGAGGGAAAGTGTAGCTGCTGTTGATTAGATAGGGAAATGCATAGCTAGGTTAGGGTATACAGTGTCCACTACAGTCCTGAAGGACTCATCTGATCTCTGCTGTAAGGACAGCACCCCAAAAAGCCCTTTTTAGGGCTAGAACATCAGTCTGCTTTTTTTTTTCTGTGTAATGTAATTGCAGTTGCCTGCCTGCCAGCTTCTGTGTCAGGCTCACAGTGGATACTGTGCCCATTTGCCCAGTCAGTGCCACCACTCATATCTGGTGTCACAATAGCTTGCATTTAAGAACAAAAAACTTTTTTCACTGTTATAGATTGAATAGCAGTCAGTGTCCTTAAAGCTGGTGTGTCAGGCTCACAGTGGATACTGTGCCAGTGCCACCACTCACTCATCTGGTGTCACAATAGCTTTGATTTAAAAACAAAAAACTTTTTTCACTGTTATAGATTGAATAGCAGTCAGTTGTCTGCCACTGCTGCCAGTTCTGTGTCAGGCTCACAGTGGATACTGTGCCCATTTCCCCAGTCAGTGCCACCACTCACATCTGGTGTCACAATAGCTTGCATTTAAAAACAAAAAACTTTTTTCACTGTTATAGATTGAATAGCAGTCAGTGTCCTTAAAGCGGGTGTGTCAGGCTCACAGTGGATACTGTGCCCAGTGCCACCACTCACTCACTGGTGTCACAATAGCTTGCATTTAAAAACAAAAAACTTTTTTCACTGTTATAGATTGAATAGCAGTGAGTTGTCTCAAAGCGGGTGTGTCAGCCCTACAGCGTGTACTCTGCCAGTTTACAGTGCCACTCACTATCTGGTGTCACAATAGCGTGCATTTAAAAACCAAAAATCTTTTTTCACTGTTATAGATTGAATAGCAGTTAGTTGTCTCAAAGCAGGTGTGTCAGGCTCACAGTGGATACTGTGCCCAGTGCCACCACTCACTCACTGGTGTCACAATAGCTTGCATTTAAAAACAAAAAACTTTTTTCACTGTTATAGATTGAATAGCAGTGAGTTGTCTCAAAGCGGGTGTGTCAGCCCTACAGCGTGTACTCTGCCAGTACGCTGCCACCTCCTCTACTCCTCCTACTCCATCCTCTTCCATAACCTCCTCGGCTTAGTCCTCTTCTGCTGCTGCGCCTTGCTCCACATCAACGGATAGGGGGCGTAACAGTGATTAAACTGATAACAATAGTACTAAACACACCACTCCTATCTGGTGGCACATTAGATTGCACGCGCAGTGCCCAAATTTGTTGTGATCTGTGAGTAAGGTAAACGGTTGTCCATACAAGTAAGGTTGCAGCTTTTTGAGGGCCCACACCACCGCCAGGCACTCCTTTTCAATGGCAGTGTATCTACTTCCCTGGGCAAAAGTTTCCGGCTTAGATAAGCCCCGGGTTGCTCGCCGCCATCTGCTCCGACTTGGTTCAGTACTGCTCCCAATCCAAACATAGAAGCGTCTGTATGGACGAGAAAGCGTTTAGTTGGATCAGGAGCAGAAAGTACAGATGATTTAATGAGCGCCGTCTTGAGCTGTTGGAAGGCCTGTTCACACTCTGGGGCCCATACTACTATCTTGGGAGGTTTTTACGCGTTCCAATATGGCACTTACTGGGCTTTAGGGTCAGTCCGGCCTCCCTAATCCGGTCTAGTACGGCTCCTATGTGGGTCAGGTGTTAGGGCCAGGAGCAGCTAAAAATGGCTATACCATCCAAGTAGGCGCAGGCATACTCCTAAAAACCATCCAGTAGCTGATCTACCATCCTCTGAAAGTTAGCCGGGGCATTCTTCATCCCGAATGGCATGGCCTTAAACTGATACAGGCCAAACGAGGTGACAAATGCCGACTTGTGGATGGCGTCCTCGGCTAATGGAATTTGCCAGTACCCCTTGCACAGATCTATTGTGGTGAGGTACTGGCCTCTGGCCATTTTGTCTAGGAGCTCGTCTATCCGGGGCATAGACGAGGCGTCTGAGGTTGTTTTATCGTTTAGCCTCCGGTAGTCTACACAGAAACGGGTCATGCTGTCCTGTTTCAGTACTAGTACTACCGGGGAGGCCCAGGGGCTGTCAGAGTGTTCTATCACCCCTAACTGCATCATTTCCTCAATTTCTTTCTGAATATTTTCTTTAACTGCTTCGGGTATGCGATAGGCGGTTTGGCGAAGGGGGTCTGGTCTAGGGTTTCAACTTTGTGAGTGGTTAACGGACTGTACCCAGGTAGGTTGGAAAACGTGGCCCCCTTGTCCTGGATTAGTCTTTGGACCTGGGTTCGCTCCTGGGGGTCTAACCGTTCTCCTAACTGTACTTCTCCCAGGTCTCCGCTCTGGCCCTCTAGGTCTAGGAGATCTGGGAGTGGCAAATGATCATAATCTTCAGTGGCAGGTGCACAGATCGCGGTTACCTCTTCCGTGCGCTCGTGGTATGGCTTGAGCATGTTCACATGGAGCATGCGCTTGCCTCCCGTGCCTGTGACCGCACCGATCACAAAGGTGGTATCACAAACCTGCTCTACCACCTTGTATGGGCCCTGCCAGGAAGCCTGCAGCTTGTCCTTGTGGACAGTGTCAATCCATATCTGCCAAGTGACCCTATGTAGGGGGAACAGTCTCTATTCTACTCTGTGTCAGTGTGTATCATGATCTCTGAGGACAGGTGTCAATCCATATCTGCCAAGTGACCCTATGTAGGAGGAACAGTATCTATTCTGCTCTGTGTCAGTGTGTATCAGGGGCTCTGAGGACAGGTGTCAATCCATATATGCCAAGTGACCCTATGTAGGGGGAACAGTCTCTATTCTGCCTGTGTCAGTGTGTATCAGGGGCTCTGAGGACAGGTGTCAATCCATATCTGCCAAGTGACCCTATGTAGGGGGAACAGTCTCTATTCTGCTCTGTGTCAGTGTGTATCATGATCTCTGAGGACAGGTGTCAATCCATATCTGCCAAGTGACCCTATGTAGGAGGAACAGTCTCTATTCTGCTCTGTGTCAGTGTGTATCAGGGGCTCTGAGGACAGGTGTCAATCCATATCTGCTAAGTGACCCTATGTAGGGGGAACAGTCTCTATTCTGCTCTGTGTCAGTGTGTATCATGGTCTCTGAGGACAGGTGTCAATCCATATCTGTCAAGTGACCCTATGTAGGAGGAACAGTCCCTATTCTGCTCTGTGTCAGTGTGTATCAGGGATCCTTAGGACAGGTGTCAATCCATATCTGCTAAGTGACCCGATGTTGGGGTAACATTCCCTATTCTGATCTGTGTCAGTGTGTATCAGGGGCTCTGAGGACAGGTGTCAATCCATATCTGCCAAGTGACCCTATGTAGGAGAAAAGTCTCTATTCTGCTCTGTGTCAGAGTGTATCAGGGATCCTTAGGACACGTGTCAATCCATATCTGCCAAGTGACCCTATGTAGAGGGAACAGTCTCTATTCTGCTCTGTGTCAGTGTGTATCAGGGGCTTTGAGGACAGGTGTCAATCCATATCTGCCAAGTGACCCTATGTTGGGGGAACAGTCTCTATTCTGCTCTTTGTCAGTGTGTATCAGGGATCCTTAGGATAGGTGTCAATCCATATCTGCCAAGTGACCCTATGTAGGGGGACCAGTCCCTATTCTGCTGTGTGTCCGTGTGCATCAGGGGCTCTGAGGACAGGTGTCAATCCATATGTCAAGGTGTCAATATGTCATATGTCAGGTGTCAACCCATATTCATTGTGATTTAGGAATGTTAGGTGATTTCTGCCCTTTATGGATTAAAACCAGACTCTGCATCAACTGTGTAATTTTCCATGGGAGTTTTGCCATGGATCCCCCTCCCGCATGCCACAGTCCAGGTGTTAGTCCCCTTGAAACAACTTTTCCATCACTATTGTGGCCAGAAAGAGTCCCTGTGTGTTTTAAAATTCGCCTGCCCATTGAAGTCTATGGCGGTTCGCCCGGTTCGCCGGTTCGCGAACATTTGCGGAAGTTCGCGTTCGCCGTTCGCGAACCGAAAATTTCGTGTTCGCGACATCACTACCACCTGCTTGATACATACTAAAAAACATGAAGATAGCCATTATTATATGAACCCACAGTGTGCTAGTACTGGCTTGCTAGCTAAAGCCACATGGCGAAACAATTAATCCTTTGTTTGGTGACAGGTGAGGCCCTGCTAGTTGCCAAGTGGCTTGAGAGACTCTATCTATGCAATGGCAAAAGGGGATTTTTGTGGCCACCAAACGTAGTGGCAGGATGTTGGCATCTCGGTGACTGTAACCATAAAAAATGGGGAAGGTAGTGACAGGTGAGGCCCTCTCTGTATACCATGCGAGGCGACTAGCTCAATAGTGGCCCGATGGGTGTTTTCCTCCGAGCGTTGAGGCGGGGTGTTGGCCTTGCGGGACCACTATACGACAGGCGTAGATGCCAAGAAAGGAAAATACCTATTGGAAACCTATTGTCCCTAATTGCCAGTACGCTAAGGATATACCCATGGGGAAACAGAAAATGTATGTATATACCACATGAGCAGGTGTATATACCTGGTAGTATGATTAGATACCCTTACTGGTTGTAAGGGTTATTAACACCTGTATCCCGGACGGGTAAAACAATGTATGAAAATTGAATATAGACATTTAAAAGCGTATACCCATATGTGTGTTATGCAAGTTTAAAAGAGCAAAGTGCTCCGCCCCAATGTTTATTGTATGCTTGTAATGCCCCTGTTTGAAGGAAATTAACTTGTCGGGAGTGTTATATCATGTGTGATACGGAATACAACTGTACCCCGAAACATGAGTGTAGTGAACCATGACTGGCAGCTGAATAACCTAATATGTGAAAATACATAATTGGAAGGACTTATATTTTAAGGGTGCAAACATGCAAATATTCCGTATTAGACTCTGGTATCCTGCATAGTGCTTTAAATAGTATGTGCATTCTTGGGTAAATAAAAGATAAGGGCTGCGCCAATGAGAACAAAATACAAAATAAAATAGCAAATAATCCAAATAAATGAGTGTAATAAAATAAGAAAGTCTTATCTAGAATATGCTCTTTGAGGTCATGGAATCTATCCGTGCTTGATCCGGAACAATTGTTCTTTTTATGTTCATCCGTGAGGGTCCGCTCGTATATAGAAGATAAAAGAGTGGAGAGCCAATAGTGTAAAATGCTTAAAACAATAAAAATTAGTAAAAAGGGAAAAATAAAACTCACATTTGAAAGAGCTAAACTTGCTCTAGTATAGAAGGCGTACAGCGGTTTGATCCCCGCTTATGGGATATAGGGTGGACTTCCTCCGTCAGTGGTGTATCCAACACTCGGGTAGAAAGAAACAGCCAATAGTGTACACTGAGTAAAATATTGGTAATAAAATTGAATAAAATAGAATGGGTACTCACAAGACGGGAGCAGAACAACTGCTCCTTGACGTAGCGCTGGTGGTATAATCCCCACCTAGGATTTCTTGGTGTCCGGGATGTTGAAAGGATGCCAGGTAGTAAATAAATTAGAGTGTATAAAAGGATAAGTGGCACAGATAAAAAGTAACCAAATATACTTTAATATATATAAAATACACAATTAAAAGTCCATAAACGCGTTTCGCCAACAATGGCGTTATCAATATGGGGTAAGAACCTGAAACCTGGCATGACATTGTTTATATAACAACTGTAATTCTATAAAATTGGCGCCAAAAGTGAGCAGCCAATCAACAGAGAGTTAAAACATAAAATTGATAAAACAATATAAAAATAGAGAAATCAATACTTTTTTGCAATAATATATTCATTATGAATGTTATGGCATTAATAAATATAAAAAACGAAGAGTGTAGCTAAGTATTTATAACTTAATGTGCACGGTCATGTGACCGGCACCATGCCGCTAAGGAGTATGGGAGTGGTAATATAGACGCCGGCGCGCACTGCGCAGCTGCCGGCGTCTATAAAGAGAGTGGGAGGGAGGCGTCAGCTCACACACTGATTGCGGCTGACGTCAGTGGGAGGGGTGGGGTGACGGCGGCACACACAGGAATGTGGCCGTCGTCAGGGAGAAGAAGTAAACATAGACGACGGCGAGCACAAGGCTGCAGCCGTCGTCTAGGCAACAGGAGGAGCCTGTCGGCACACTAAAGAGTGCGGCCAACCAGGTACTAAAAAAAAAAAAAGAAAAGAAAAAGGAAAATAAAAAAGGGGCATTAATAAAAAAAAAAAACAACAGTAAAAAAAAACAATAAAACATAAAACATAACAGAGATGTGAAGTGTAAAATAAATATGGGAAGGTGTACTGGCTGCATATATTTTAAAACAACAGACACAGAAAAAATATGTAAAAATTAAAAATATATTTTATAATATTTTTCATTTTTACATATTTTTTCTGTTTTCTGTTTTATTGTTGTTTTTTTACTGTTGTTTTTTATTAATGCCCCTTTTTTAATTTTCCTTTTTCTTTTTTCTTTTTTTTTTTTAGTGCCTGGTCGGCCGCACTCTTTAGCGTGCCGACAGGCTCCTCCTGTTGCCTAGACGACGGCTGCAGCCTTGTGCTCGCCGTCTTCTATGTTTACTGCTTCTCCCTGACGACAGCTGCATTCTTGTGCGTGCCGCCGTCACCCCACCCCTCCCACTGACGTCAGCCGCAATCAGTGTGCGAGCTGATGCCTCCCTCCCACTCTCTTCATACACGCCGGCAGCTGCGCAGTGCGCGCCGGTGTCTATATTACCACTCCCATACTCCTTAGCGGCATGGTGCCGGTCACATGACCGCGCACATTAAGTTATAAATACTTAGCTACACTCTTCGTTTTTTTATATTTATTAATGCCATAACATTCATAATGAATATATTATTGCAAAAAAGTATTGATTTCTCTATTTTTATATTGTTTTATCAATTTTATGTTTTAACTCTCTGTTGATTGGCTGCTCACTTTTGGCGCCAATTTTATAGAATTACAGTTGTTATATAAACAATGTCATGCCAGGTTTCAGGTTCTTACCCCATATTGATAACGCCATTGTTGGCGAAACGCGTTTATGGACTTTTCATTGTGTATTTTATATATATTGGTTACTTTTTATCTGTGCCACTTATCCTTTTATACACTCTAATTTATTTACTACCTGGCATCCTTTCAACATCCCGGACTCCAAGAAATCCTAGGTGGGGATTATACCACCAGCGCTACGTCAAGGAGCAGTTGTTCTGCTCCCGTCTTGTGAGTACCCATTCTATTTTATTACCAATATTTTACTCAGTGTACACTATTGGCTGTTTCTTTCTACCCGAGTGTTGGATACACCACTGACGGAGGAAGTCCACCCTATATCCCATAAGCGGGGATCAAATCGCTGTACGCCTTCTATACTAGAGCAAGTTTAGCTCTTTCAAATGTGAGTTTTATTTTTCCCTTTTTACTCATTTTTATTGTTTTAAGCATTTTACACTATTGGCTCTCCACTCTTTTATCTTCTATATACGAGCGGACCCTCACGGATGAACATAAAAAGGACAATTGTTCCGGATCAAGCACGGATAGATTCCATGACCTCAAAGAGCATATTCTAGATAAGACTTTCTTTTTTTATTACACTCATTTATTTGGACTATTTGCTATTTTATTTTGTATTTTGTTCTTATTGGTGCAGCCCTTATCTTTTATTCTTTCTCTCTCTCAGCGTCATTTTTAAGGGTTCCTGAGGGATTCGCTTATAGGGTTGCTGCCCTCATATTAGCTAGCGCTTACTCTCTGTTTTGTTTTTATTCTTGGGTAAATGTATGCGTATTGTCAGTAAATGTAACTAAATGCCTATGTAGGCAGGTATGCAGAAATGATTATATCATAGCAAGCATGATTTGTAAGGAAGTGTTATTGTGTAATTATAATTATAGCCTGTAGTATATCGTTTGACAGATAGGAGTCAGTATAAAAGCGAAAATGCTGTAGTTAGTTTGTTTGCTTATGAAGTGAAATAAAGTCTGAGAAGCCTGTAGTATACCGATTGACCGGTAGGGGTCAGCATGTAGGCGAAAATGCCGTGGTTCGTTGGTTTGTACATGAAATGCAATAATGTCTGAGAAGCCTGTAGTACACCGAAAGGATCGGTAGGGGTCAGTGTGTAGGTGCAAATGCAGTGGTTCGTTGGTTTGTACATGAAATGCAATAATGTCTGAGATGCCTGTAGTACACCAATTGACCGGTAGGGGTCAGTGTCTAGGTGAAAATGCAGTGGTTCGTTGGTTTGTACATGAAATGCAATAATATCTGAGAAGCCTGTAGTACACTGAATGACCGGTAGGGGTCAGTGTGTAGGTGAAAATGCAGTGGTTTATTGGTTTGTACATGAAATGCAAAAACGTCTAAGAAGCCTGTAGTACACCGAATGACCGATAGGGGTCAGTGTCTAGGTGAAAATGCAGTGGTTCGTTGGTTTGTACATGAAATGCAATATCTGGAAACTCCTGTCATATGAGCAATACTCAGAAACAACACCAGAGGATCAAAACACCAACTACTGGTAGACCAAGCAGTCACAAGGTATTCTAAGACCAGACAGACCAATCTTTGTACAGCCTGGATTGACTACAAAAAAGCCTATGACACAATGCCACACACATGGATACTGGGATTCTTGGCTCTCTACAAGGTCAGCAAGACAATATGAGCCTTCATCAAGAACTCAATGGGCAATGGAAAACAACTCTAGAAGCCAATTCCAGGACAATAACTCAAGTGATTCTCTTTCCCCAATGCTGTTCTGCATAGGCATCAACCCCCTTAGCCAGATCATCAAGAAGAGTGGGTACCGATACAGATTCAAGAGTGGAGCTACCATCAACTGCCTACTCTATATGGATGACATCAAATTGTATGCCAAGAATGAGCGGGACATTGACTCACTGATCCACCTAACTAGGATATACAGCAAGGACATCGGAATGTCGTTCTGACTAGAAAAGTGCGGGTGGATGATAGCAAAAAGAGGGAAGATAATCAGGACAAAAGGAGTTGAAGTTCCAGAAGGTCAAATAGAAGATGTAGAGGACAACTACAAGTACCCGGGGGTACCACAAATGCATGGCAACCATGAGGAAGAGACAAGGATGATAGCAACATCCAAGTACCTCCAAAGAGTCAGACAGGTCCTGAAGTCCCAGCTCAATGGCAAGAACAAGATCCAAGCCATCAACACATATGCCCTACCGGTCATCAGGTACACAGCTGGAATAATAACCTGGCCAAGAGAAGAACTGGTCACCATGAATGTCAAGACCAGAAAACTGCTCACTATGAATGGTGGATTCCATCCGAAATCCAGCACCCAGAGACTGTACACCTGCCGTAAGGAAGGAGGTCGGGCCTGATGAGTGTCAAGGACACAGTCCTGCATGAAACACAGAGCATCCACATGTGCATCATGAAGATGGCTCCCAAATATGAACTGCCTGAGACTTCAACACATAGAGGATGCAGAAAAATAGGAAGTTCCTTGGCAAGACAACCCTCTCTATGGGGTGTACCACCGGCAGATAGTGGATGTGGATCACATGACAAAAATCCTATCAGTGGTTGGAAAAGGCAGGACTGAAAGACAGCACTGATGCACTAATCCTAGCAGCACAGGAACAGGCACTCAGCACCAGATTAATAGAAGCTGGAGTCTACAACACAGGGCAAGACCTAAGGTGCAGACTGTGCAAAGAGGCCTCTGAGACAGTCCAGCACCTAGACTTTCCCAAGTTGCTGGGATTGTGTACCGAAACTTTTGGACAGGATATGGATTGGACCTGCCTAAGTCCAGATGGGAGATACCACAAAGGGTAGTTGAGAATGACAGGGCTAAGATCCTGTGATCTCAAGATGCAGACAGACATGCAAGTGCTGGCCATCCAACCCAACATCGTAATGGTAGACAAGGAAGGAAGACTGCAGTCGTGGTGGATGTGGCAATACCCAGTGACTATAACATCAGGAAGAAGGAACATGAGAAGGTGCAGAAATACCAAGGACTGAAAGAAGAACTAGAAAGGATGTGGAAAGTGAAGGCAGTAGTAGTCCCAGTTGTGACAGGACCACTTGGTTAACCCTTATGTGCTGAGAGTTTTTTAATGGTTTGCCAGCTGTCTGGCAAATAGTTTTTGTTTTTTTACATTCGGCATGGGTGCTTCAAAACAAACAATCCAGGTCCAGATTTCAACCATCCATTAGCATTTGCTCTAGGTGAAATCTGGACCAAATTCAGGGTTGTTCGAGTTGTTTCTGCAAAATTGGGCAGTCCGAATGGCCCTGTACAGCATTGGACCAGTTTGCCAATTTTAGTGCAGGTCCATTCAGACTTACCTTTGAGTAATACTTACTTCTACATATTGGAATTGCAGACCAGTTTCCATTTGCTTCACAAGTGACATTGTGGGACCCATCCATATCCAAATTTCTATCACAAAGATAATTTATCTCTTCAAAGACCGCATATTCTGATTTCTGAATTGCCAGAAGATAAGCATGTTTTACTTCTGGCGGTGGGGGGCAGAATATTTCTGAAAGGGAAAATTATATTATTACTTATAGACAATAAAAAGAGTTGAAGCTTACACTGCCTGCATTTAATCTTTGCAGCACTACCTACTAGAAAACAATGGAGAAAAGAAAACTTGTTCTACATAAAGACACCCAGACCACTTCAGCTCAATTAAGTCTGAGTGCCAGGTCCCCCTAGTTTTAACCCTGCAACTGACAGCCACTAGAGGCTGCTTCCCGCGATTATCAGTGTGAAAATCGAATTGAACTCACGCCGCGCGAGTTCAGATCCCCATATGGGCGATTTGAATGCACGCAGCTCTGGCCCGAGCATGTGGCTCCACTCAGTGGCTGACGTCGGCAGGGGAGGAGAGGTCACCAGCACCAAAGGAGCCTGGCACTGGATTAGGGTAAGTGGCTGAAGAGGTTTTAACCCCTTCAGTGCTGAGGGAGGGGGGGCCATGAGGGGGGACCGAATAATCCTATAGTGCCAGGAAAACAAGTTTTTGTTCCTGGCACTATAGAGTTCCTTTAAAGAGGTACTATAGGCTTTGCATGAGCACCTCCAGCATCTTGAAAACCTCAAAAGAAAACATTAATTCAATGCTTTACTATGGGGAAGGCCTAATGCACGTGCGGCACTTAATGCGATTGCTCATTAGGTTTCTGGATCGCCATGACGTTGGCAAAGGAGGACCCTGATCCAGAAATCTGCGCTGCAATCAGGTATGTGTTAAAAATGTTTTTAACACTTTAGTTGCCAGTGGGGGCCATGGGGAAGAGGGACACTGTAGTGTTAGAAATACAGTTTTTTTTTTTATTCCTAACAGTTCGTTACTCATGTATAACATTTGTATGTAAAGTGAATTTCAGAAAGATCTGCAAATATCCCCTACTAGGGTCCTCATTTGGCATTTGCCACTGTAAATATAGACATGGAAGTAGGAGTTAATTATACAACGGGAAAACGCCCAAATTTCCTGTGTAGATGGGGTAGGAAAAAAACAAAACATCTGTGAAGGATAATATAATTAGAAGAGGGTTCCTTAACCTTCACAGGTTTCAGGGATGGTATAAACAAATTAGATTATCTTCCAGTAAGAACTTGAGAAGTAACAATGAAATATATTTGTAATACAGTCTTTTATCATTTTTAGGTTATATTGCCTCTGCATCCTAATACTTATAGAAAGAGTATTGAACAATTGGGGTTATTTAAATAGAAGGGGTGTTTTCTCAGGTCAGCTGGTGGGTAGGGAATGGAATAGGGCCCTCATGCACCAGGGGTGAATGTTTAGTTTAGCCATTTATAACAGAATGTTAGGTAACATCATATCCAGTGTGAAATCAAGGCTGTAAAATGTATGCCAAAAAACTTTTTTTTTAGATAAAAATACATGGGAATATTCTATGTATCATATTGAACATACGTCTGCATGTTGGAGCTGGTTGACTCCAAGTGGTGTTCTCCATACACTGTGTGACCTTGTGACCTTCAAGTGCATACCTGTGTTAAAAAGCAGTAATAACTTTAAAGATCATATATACATATATATGTATACACACACACACACACAACTGTTGTCTTAGTATCAAATATTCTTAGAAAGTCCACATGTTGATGCCACAGAAAAATAAAATAAAAATAATTTATAAAATATTTCCTTTTACTGTGAGACCCTCAAAGTGTAGGGTAGAGAACAAAGGCCCTGCTCATGTCTTCTGATTGTGTGCTGGATTGACAAAAATCTGAAAGGCCAACTAATTAGTAATTAGCCTTTTGTGCTAAGGCTTCTTCAGTGGTCTAGCTAGAGCTTTTGCTGCCCTATCTCGACCACCCACGTCATATTCGGTGCAGTCGCGGACATACGTGGCTGCACCAGACATACCTCTTTTATGTACTCAATGCCTCTAGCTCAACACAGTTTACAACCTTTTCAAGCATTTTTAAGATATACACCCAATGAGTACATGCATTAAAAAAAAAAAGCATGCATGTAATTAGTTGGGGGCATATCTACTAAACAGTGATTTGGAGCGGGGGTATTGCCCATTTGGGCAGAGTGTTCCTTTAAATAATTCTTGTTCGTGAAGCACTTCAGTATATTTAACTTTATATTGGTGTGAAAGAAAACAGTTATGAGTGAAAAGCAAAAAAATAAAAATAAATTTAAGACCCTTAATATACTTTTATTTTTTGGCAGGGACGGAGGGGGTGTGTGGAGGGTGCAGGGACGGAGGGAGATGGTGCAGGGGAGGGAGAGTGGATCTGTATAGGGAAGAGAGGAGATCTGTGCAGGAGAGAGTGGGAGACTGGATCCTTGCAGAGGAGGGTGAGAGGGAATCTGTACAGGGAAGAGGGGATCTGTGGAGGGAGAGGGGATCTGTGCAGGAGAGGGGGGACAGTGAATCTGTGCAGGGGAGAGGGGGATCTGTGCAGAGGAGGCAGGAGGAGAGGGGATCTGTGCAGGGAGTGGGGGGTCTGTGCAGAGGAGGGAGGGGATGTTACAAGGAAGTGAGGGGATCTTTACAATGTGAGAGGGACTGGAAGGCAGCGGAGAGGGGATCTGTGCGGGGGAGAGAGGAGATATGTGCAGGGGAGGAAGAGGATCTGTGCAGGGGAGGGAGGGCAGAGGGGATCTGTGCAGGGGAGGGAGGGCAGAGGGAGTCTGTCCAGGGGAGGGAGGGGAGAGGGGATCTGTACAGGGAAGTAAGGGGGACTGTCTGGGTGCAGGGGAGGCAGGGGGAGTGGATCTTTAAAAGGGAGTGAGGGGGACTGTCAGGGTGCAGGGGGAGAGGGGATCAGTGCATGAGAAGGGAGAGAGGATCGATGTAGGGAGGGGGACTGTAAGGGAGGCAGGGGAGGGGGAATCTGTGCAGGTAGGGGGCTGTCAGGGAGGCAGGGAGAGAGGGGATCTGTGCTGGGAGGGGGCTGTCAGGGAGAGAGGGGATCTGTGCAGATGAAGGAGGGGGAGAGGGGATCTGTGCAGGGAGGGGGACTGTAAGTGAGGCAGGTGGGCTTTCATGGAGGCAGGGGGAGAAGGGATCTGTGCAGGGGAGGCAATGGGAGAGGAGATATGTGCAGGGTAGGGAGGGGGACTGCAAGAGAGACAGGGGTAGAGTGAATATGTGAAGGGAGGGGGGAGGCAGGGAGAGAGGGGATCTGTGCAGGAAGGTAGGCTGTCAGAGAGGCAGGGGGATATGTGCAGGTGAGGGATCTGTGCAGGGAGGGGGACTGTGAGTTTGCAGGGGAAGGGGCTGTGCAGGGAAGAGCTTACCTGCCAGGTTGCTCTTCCTCTTCAGGACAGGAGGCACAGGATTTGATTTCACTTGCCATATGTGGCGAACGTAACCTCGCCACTGGTTTTTGGAAGGGGCCTGTTTGCCAGCCTCCTACCCTGGGACTATGGGCCCTGTGATAACCTATGTTCAAAAGTACTGTTTCTGCCCCTTGGACTTTTAACTGGAACAGATTCAAACATGTGGCGGCGGCCATCTTAAATTGTCCAGCAGTCTTTTGTCGTTGGGTGTGTGGAACAGTTTTGGGCATGAGAGCATGTGCACGGTGGAGCAAAAATAAGACTTCCAGGAAATTCCTGAACCAATCTGGGTGATTTTGGGATATGTTGTTCACCCAGATCGGGGCTATCAGGGGATGTGGGGATTTGTTGTATTTTGGGGTACTTTTTGGGGTTTGTAAAAATGTATGTTTTTTCCGCTTAGAGTTAATTGAGTTAGTCCATTGTCTTTGTTAATTATCTCACAGGCAGAAGGGGGGAGGAGGGGTTGTGTACACTGTATGGGAGTGACTGAATGTAAAACTATGTTTTTATTGGCTTGTTGTTCATGTGTCCCTGTGCCCCACAAGGTCCACCTGGGGAAAACTGTATAAAAGACCAAGCTGTTCAATAAACCCTCAGATCTGCTGAGTTCCTGTTTTACCCTCAACATAGAGCCTCACCTCATGTGTGGGGGAAAGGCTGCATCTACCCTGGGGATTGCTATATCACTATACTATCCAGGGATTATAATTACTAAGCTCTTTTAAGAACTTGTTCCTGCTACTCTCGTCTGGCGTTTGGATGTCGCGGTGAGAACCATTGCTATATCACTGAACTCCCCAGCAATTATAATCACTAAGCTCTTTTAAGAACTTGTTCCTGCTACTCTCTCTTGGAGGAGAGGTTCACCCACTGGAATCTGGAGCCTTGTCATAGGTCCAGGGTGGGTAGAGGAGGGCAAATTCCCAGCCAAGCTGTAATGCTGGATGTGGGGACTGCGGTGCTGATGGTGTCTGGTGGAGTGCTTGGAGTCCTCGGTGAGCATTAGGAGCATCCGTCGGTGGAGGTACCCAGCCAGGGTACAGGAAGTTCTGTTACAGTACCCAACTAGGGTACAAGAAGCTCCATTACAGTACCCAACTAGGGTACAAGAAACTCAGTTATATTGGTCGCAAGCGGTGGAATGGCTGCCTAGTGTGAGGAGAAGCAGCTCGGAGGCATCGATAACATATGGAGTTATAATTAAGGGCAACACTTGTCCCCGTACAGAGCCCCGGACTACAGCAATCATGACGTATTGCTTTGAGGGCGATGCCTAGACAGGCGGCTAGCCAGATATGGCCCAGATCCTTCGACAGAGACTATCACAGCAACTATGTGAGAATTGGACGAGGAGAACCGCGGCACTACACCCTCAGGATGTACAAGTTACAACAGCAGTGGGCAGTACAGGGAGCCGAAGGTATCGTCCTTCCTCCCCAGCGGCAACTTCCCTTGCAGGGAGAGGAGAGCATCGTCCTCCCTCCCCAGCGGCTGGGTGAGTTACAGGGAATGGAGACGGTCGGCCACCCTCCCCAGCGGCATTGTACCTTGCAGGGAGAGGAGACAACCAGTCTCTCTCCCCAGCTGCAGACAGAGTCACCAGGAGAGAAGAGCTGCATCCTCCCTCCCCAGTGGCAGGGTGAGTTACAGGGTGTGGAGAAGGTTGGTCCCCTCCCCAGCGGCAGTGTTTCCTACAGGGAGTGGAGATAATCAGTCTCACTGCCAAGCAGAAGGGTGAGTTTCAGGCAGAGGAGACAACCGGTCTCCCTTCCCAGCGGCAGTGTACCTTGCAGGGAGAGGAGACAACCGGTCTCTCTCCCCAGCGGCAGTGTGCATCACAGGGAGCGGCTCCCCAGCGGCTGAGCGAGCTACTGGGAGTGGGGACAGTCAGTCCTACTCTCCAGTGGCAGTATACCTTGCAGGGAGAGGAGGCAGCCGGCCTCTCTCCCAAGCGGCAGGATATCCTACAGGGAGTGGAGACAACTGGTCTCACTCCCCAGCAGCAGAGCGAGCTACAGGAGTGGGGACAACAACCCTGACCCCAATAGTACAGATGGGACCGCGGTCTCTGTACTGGATCTACAGCGATGCTCGACGGCTGATCCAGATCCCCAACCCACCCCAGCAGAAGGGCTGGCATCAGGGCAGAGCGTGGTCCTTGATCCGGGAACTACCAACTTTCCCCACCACGCAGCTGTGACGCTGGCTATGGGACAGAGACGGAACTGTTTTGGGCATGGGACCATGTGCACTGTGGGGCAAAAATAAGACTTCCAGGAAATTCCTGAACCACTGAACCGATCTGGGTGATTATTGGATATGTTGTTCACCCAGCTTGGGGCTATCAGGGGATGTGACTTTTGTGGGGGTTTGTTTAATTTGGGGTTTGTAAAAATGTTAGTAATTATCTCACAGGCAGAGGGGAGGGATTGTGTACACTGTATGGGAATGACTGAATGTAAAACGATGTTTTTATTGGCTTGTTGTTCCTGTGCCCCACAAGGTCCACCTGGGTGGTAACCTTGTGGGGAAAACTGTATAAAAGACCAAGCTGTTCAATAAACCCTCAGATCTGCTGAGTTCATTTTTTACCCTCAACATAGAGCCTCACCTCGGATGGGGGGTGTCACGGCTTACCTGAGGTGGGAGTTCGGTATGCAGAGATATGTGCTCACCCTTGCAATTAAACACAGGCCAATGTGGTCAGGTAAGAATTCACCTGGCCTGTGAGTCTGTGCCCTGGGGCTGTGCAGGATATTGCTCCAAGTCGCAGTACAGGTAAGGACACAAGCAGGAGAATTGTCGAGGATAAGCCAAAAGTCAGAGGGTCACAGAAGTCAGGATAAATGAGAGTAAGCTAAAGTCAGAGGATGCCAGAAGTCAGGATATACGAATAGAAAGCCAAGGTCAGGAGCCACCTGGAGAACACTGGAACACCAACACAGGAACCAGAGTCAATGAACTGACACTGCTCTCAGAGAAAGGCAGTGTCTTATACCTGGCTAATCAGTGATGCTTTACAGCTGGACCACGATTGACAGGAGCAGTCACAGGTTAAGTCAAGCCCACAGTGCTGGAGACTTGGCAAGGATACATGGAACTGAAGTGGCTCAGAGGCAAGAACACAGGCTGAGAACCATAAAGCACCCAAGTTAAAATCTCTTGTTGGGACCTTCTGGGGTGACCTCGTCTGGCGTTTGGATGTCGCGGTGAGAACCATTGCTATATCACTGAACTCCCCAGCAATTATAATCACTAAGCTCTTTTAAGAGCTTGTTCTTGCTACTCTTTCTTTGAGTAGAGGTTCACCCACTGGAACCTGGAGCCCTGTCATAAGTCCTGGGTGGGTAGAGAATGGCAAGTTCCCAGCCAAGCTGAAATGCTGGATGTGGGGACTGTGGTGCTGATGGTGTCTGGTGGAGTGCTTGGAGCATCTGTCAGCAGAGGTACCCAACTGGGGTACAGGAAGCTCTGTTACACTCCATCCTCCTGCCCCGTCACTGCACCACACGGAGGAGACCTGGCAATCAAAGCCTGCAAGAGGAGTTTGATATGTCCTCTCTCGACCTCCTATTTTCTAAGCTGCTCAGTTTAATTATTTTTTTTGTATTATTAATAATCAGGAGGAGTAATTGAAAGTAGCGCCGTGAGCTTTGATGATATTTTAGAGATATCGAGAGGGAGGGAACTGAAAGAAAAAATGCCCAGTAGGGCATTATTCATTTTATTTTAAAAATCATTTATAATCATTTATTTGCAGTAACCCTTTAAGTTAGATTTCAGCTCAGCTAATTTCCCAAAAACTTTTAATCATCTAAATGTGAATTTCTAAATTCCACTGGTTTAGATCTGGGATAGCAAATTAAACCTTTATTCAGGATGTACACAACATGTAGCATATTAAAATGTAAAAAAAAATTACTGGCAGCCACCTGTTGCCAGAATTTGCTAATTCTAGGCCAAAATACACACTAGATATATCTTCTTGTAGATTTCTACCAGTTCAGCTTTACTGGCCTAACATTTTTAATTCTCTGGTCAATATCCTGATACTTTTTGGTTTAGTAAATGTCACTGAACATGTAGGTAGTACATACTTGCACACATTCTTAAAAGCAATGAGTGACATGTATAATGCAGTTATTTATTTTAAAAGTGTTTTATTAATTAGCTACTGCAAATTTAAAGGGCAACATATAATCGTACCCATTCTTAATTACAGTAATGACATTTTCTATATTGTACAAGTTGTGATTTTTTTAAAATTACATGTTTGTGACTGTGTATTTTTGGAATAAAGTGCTTTGTGACTGAGTTTGAAAATCACTTCTGCCCACCCTTCTTTGTAGCTCCATATCATTTTACTTTCTACTTGAAATTAGGGATAGTCAAGATATTAGCAGAGTTAATTGTGATTTATTTATACTATTCATTAATCACAGGTAGTTGTAGCATGCCTCCAAAATGTATTTGGGATCCGTCGCACTGCCTCAGGTTACCATATTTTCCGGCGTATAAGACGACTGGGCGTATAAAACGACCCCCAACTTTTCCAGTTAAAATATAGAGTTTGGGATATACTTTCCTTTCAAAACTCAATGATGGGATTCTTATATTAAAAAAAATAGTTTTAAGGTGACGGGTGTCATTTTAAGGGAACACTCCATTTAAAAGACAATTTAGCAGATATACCCCAAATTAAACCTGTAATAATTTTGCATGTTTTCTTTAGGGGTATGTGGAAAAATGTGCTTGCAATAGCTGCAGATCTAGTATCTGCAGTTTCTGCAAGTCCTCCTCCTCTTCCATGCCATAAGCTTCCTCTCCTGTGCTGGGGAATAACCACTGAGAAGCCTTTTGAACCACACGTGTGTGTGTGTGTTGCAGCGTGTTTATAAGTCATCTTCAAAAGTTTAAGATGTTTGTAGTGTTTCTAAAATTGACGCAATGCACCATAACCACCCGTTGTGGCTGTGATTCAGTAGAGCATTGGGTGCTGTGGCTTTGTTTTCTGTTAAATCATTTTAAAGCTTTGCTAAAAAGTAGTAATCTCCCCAACAATCAAAACCCAACCTCTCTAAAGCTGCTTAGATAATGTGAAAGTTAAATTACTGTCATCCATCCAACCTTGAATGTTAGGCTAGGGACAGCACCCAGAGACTAACTGGACAATAGTTTACGGTGTGAACGGTAATGGTTATGTTGCTTAGTTTGCCCATTTAAACATTTTATAAAGTGATACCACAGTTTAAATGTATCTACAACTGACATTCAAATCAAAAAGTAATGAGTTTTTAAAGTTGCAGTTGTTTTGTTGCAGGCAAAAAGTAGGGATTTCAAATGTTAATGTAAACCAAATGTTCAAATAAATTCTAAACCATTTCCTTGTGTCTCTTCTTCTTTCCCTCCATTTTTGGCCGGGTACCACGCGGTACAGGAGATTCAGTTACCTGTTCCCGGCCGGACTGAAAGGAAGTGAGCACTGAGGACTGACAGGACGAAGAGGAGCTCGGCCACCCACTCTGCACAGGGAAGGGGAGGTAAGAGAGGCAGTGCAACAGCCATCTGAGCGCGCTTTATAGAGCGCTCAGGCGGCTGCAGCATTAGAAGGGCTGGCGTATAAGACGACCCCCCACTTTGGAAAAGATTTTCCAGGGGTAAAAAGTCGTCTTATACGCCGGAAAATACGGTAGTTTTCTGGTGTTTGGACTTTGTGGATACCAAGAAAATGTTCCCATACAGGACTGTGCAAAATCCAGTCAGGGCATTCAGTCCATGACCAGAGTTGTCCTACGTAGGAATGGGCCAAGCAGAAATGTAGAAATCCACATCCTTTATCTTGCAATTGGGTGCCTCCATCTTGGCTCCCTGTGAGTCATTGTTATAGGAACTTTGCACCTAGCAATCAGCACAGAGAAGGTTAACAGACATTATAGGTAATTTTCAATGGTGTAAATTGAAGAGAATTGAGAGAAGCCCTTTAAGCTAGGATATTGTTCCCGAAGGCCACTCAGCAAAGAAAACCATTTGATTTGCTTATAGTAACTTGTGTTTTTAATGATTTACAAAAGAAATTCTGATTGATTTAAATGGGAACTCTTACATATTTTACTGTATTTTAAACTATTGAATTGAGGTTTTATTTGAAAAAAAATACAGTTTGGACCTTAAATGGATTCCCTATGGGGATTTTTGGACTTTAGGTCTAGTAATATTTAATTCTAGTTGCTGTATGTATTTCAAACTCTAAGAAGATTATGATATAAAAATCTGATTAAGTAAAAAAATATAAAATTCTACTTACTAATTTTGCATATATAACATATTTTACTTATATTCTTAATTAATTAAGATGATCTTGTAAGGTAGGATCTTGAAGTAATTTTAGCATGAAAATGTTCCAGAGAAAAAATAAATGAATAAAAGTAGTTCCTATCTAAATAAAAACCTTGCCATTTATACTATTGGGTTAACAATAACAAAGTATTTAACCAGGAAAGGTACATTCAGATTACTTTAGTTTTCAAGTACGTCCTGGGGATGCTACCTTAGCCCAACATCCAGGGGTTGTTACTATTAACCAATTTAATGGTACTCATTTTATCTACCTCGGAAGGATGAACGGATGAGTCAACCCTGCCGGGATTTGAACCTGGATTAAACAGATTCTACCGATGATGCATTAGCCCAATGAGTTATCTCACCTGCAATAATGCAATTAATCTAAAGCATACTTTCACCTCTAAACTAGATCCATATAAAATCACTTGGACTAGAAACATTTTTTGACTAGTTGAAGGAACACTTGCATGGGATCCACTGGTTGCCAACTCCCACCTCCGCTACCTCCTATGGAGAGCCAGAAGCTCCTAATCAAAAGCAACCATTAGCTCTCCTGAGCTAAGCCCTGCAAAGCAAATGACCACATCCATGCACCACAGGTTTCTGGCTGCACAAGAGAACTAGCACCCAGCAGGCCTCAGGTTGTCAAACCCTTTGCAAAGGGTTTGCCTACTTTCCCTTGGAGTCTGCCAGGGTACTCCTGGCACTATATGCAGTGCACAGCACCCCTAACTCCACACAGCACAGCACCCTTACCCCCGCCCAGCACCCCTACCCTCCACACAGCACAGCACCCCTACATCCCAACACAGCACAGCACCCCTCACACAAACACACACACAGCACACCTCAAACACACATGCAGCACCCCTCACACAGACACACACAGTACCCCTCACACACAGCACACCACACACACAGCACCCCACACACAAACACATACACTGCACCCCTCAAGGCAGTATGTGTGTGTGTGTATTCAGCAGTCTGTATGTGTGTGTATTCAGCAGTCTGTGTGTGTGTATGTATTCATCAGTCTGTGTATGTGTATTCATCAGTCTCTGTGTATGTATTCAGCAGTCTGTGTGTACTCAGCAGTGTGTGTATTCAGTGGACTCTGTGTGTGTATTCAGCGGACTGTGTGTGTATGTATTCAGCAGACTGTGTGTGTATGTATTCAGCAGACTGTGTGTACTCAGCAGCCTGTGTGTTTGTATTCAGCAGCCTGTGTATGTGTACAGCAGACTGTGTGTGTGTATGTGCATTCAGCAGTCTGTGTGTACGTGTATTCAGCAGTCTGTGTGTATGTATTCAGCAGTCTGTGTGTACTCAGAAGTGTGTGTATTCAGTGGACTGTGTGTGTGTACTCAGCAGACTGTGTGTGTGTAAGTATTCAGCAGTCTATGTGTATGTATTTAGCAGTCTGTGTGTATGTACTCAGCAGTCTGTATGTGTATTCAGCAGACTGTGTGTGTGTGTGTGTGTATTCAGCAGTCTATGTACTCAGCAGTCTGTATGTGTATTCAGCAGACTGTGTGTGTGTGTATTCAGCAGTCTATGTATTCAGCAGTCTGTGTGTGTATGTATTGCATTTGTTGGAGATACTAATAAATATAAGCTTAATTTTATTAATTATTTAAAATTTGTATAATTGAACTCTCTGTTGTTGTGTTCTTTTAAAACAAAAGTTGTTAATTCGTTTGGACAACTGTACGAGTTATTTTTTCTAAACTTAAACCTCAGTATTCAGATTTAATTGCTGTGTTGGCACTTTGAGGAAAAAAAAGTTGGCATTATTGCGGTTTGGGCACTCGGGCTCAAAAAGCTTCGCCATCACTGTTCTAGGCTATGCTAAAATAGGAACCCTAAAAATTTACCAAAGTCATAGCTGGCATACATTTTGTTTACAATATTTTATATAAAATGCTGTTGATACTACATAGTAACTGCAACATTTGGACAGATTTACTAATCAAAAAATCGTATACATGTTTAGTTCTTAAAGATGTCAATAAAGAATATCAATTGGAACAAATCAAGTCAGTACATACAACATACCCCAGATTACATTGATAGTGAACCGAGGTTCCAACTGAGAAAGTAGACCCATTTTCCATTAAGAATCCATTCTCTATAGTATGTGGCACATCACAAGACTTTACTGGATCAAGCACTGCTTTAAAACAAACAAAAAGGATAAGATTTTATTTTTAAATAAATGGGACACAGATACCCACTAATGATTATTTTTTATTTTTTTTGCAATGTAAGCAACATAACATGAAAAATACCAGTGATTGCTGTGTGTTTGCTCCTCACATCCTGATATTTTTAACGTATTATCAGGTATATTTCTATACCTTTTTGAATAAAAATGCACAATATGGTAATCGACTCTAAAAGGAACATAAATATTTGAAAAGAACTAAAACCAATGTTTACTTGTTTCCCATCTTCCTTTACAGAGAGGCCGGTCAACTTAAATTATGGTGTTGAATAACTAAACATTGTTGTGAGTTGACAAATGGCTTGCAACATTTAGAATTTTTATATTCTCTGGCAGGTTATAGGAGATAACCTAAATCAGGACTGTGCCGCCAAAGGCAGGACTGTTAGGAGCACTGCTTAAGGGGTTAAATATTTGTGAGTATCCATATCAAACAATATTTAGGCAACTTTCACCTGGAAATTCACTTAAGCACATCTTAGCATTTACAGCATATATACACCATTTACAGATCTATAGCATTTACAACATATACACCATTTACAGATGTGGGGAAATATCACCAGCAAACAGCTAATAGTTCCTGTTTAAGGAATACATTTTTCCAGCTTACAACAATTATGTTTATTTGCTGGCAGGCTTACAGAATCTATTTACATTTAGGCCCATATCCAGCATTACCTGAAGTATTTTATTTAAGAATGCAAAGGAAGTAAGTTCACATAGCAGTGCACTAATGTGAACAATAATTATGTCATGTTGCTGTTACCATCACATGGTGTTATCACACTCCACTTCCTGTCTCCTTGACAACGGCTTAGCGCTGTCTCTTGTCCACTAGCCATTTTGAATCCCGGATGGCAAAGCACTGACATCTGATCTCCAAAGTTTCTTGTTCCTTTAACCAATCCTGTTTTAGCATTAGCAATGTTCACTGGCCAAGGACAGCTGCGGGCTTTAAGAAGAAATAGCATGCACTCAGCTTTATATAATTAAGAAATCTTTTGTCTTAATATATATATTTATCTCAAGATAAATCTACACGGATACACACACACACCCACCACCAACACCACCCCACCTACCTACCTACAGGTAGGTTCGTCTGCTGAAGATTATTATATCATTTTCATAAATAAGTAATTAATTGGAATTCTCACTGCTCTCAGACAGCACTGGGACATGTTCCTGTGCTGTCCATACAGTAAGGTTATCTCCTTAACCCCTAGAATAGCCTAACACATGGCACATATACATCTATATCACACTGTCACTAAACAATAATCCATACTCTACACATTAAACCATAAACTAAACATTAAACAGTAACCATTAACCCCTATACCATAACATTTACAATAACACCAATGTTAAACATATCATGTACTATGAAAGGTACATAACTGTGAACGGTGTGTGCCGGGAAAATAATGCCATCTCGATGTCCTAGATCAATCACATCCCCAATCCCTGGTATAAATTGACATGGTGACAGTATCACCATTATTGAAATGTTTGTAAATGTCTGAATGATTAACCTCCATTCAAGGGAAAATGTATAGTTGCATATTCATTAACAGTTAATTTTAGTATCCCTGCATTTTTCCACTATTTTGCAGAATATATCTTTATCCTGTACTGTAATAGTACATGGATTGTTTTGAGTGTCATAATAAGTTGAATGTAGTATTGTTAAAGTTTAGTCCTTAGAGTTAAAAATAAATATTTATTTGTGAGTGTTGTTCATTTGAAATTATTTCTACTAAGACACTTCTTCACAGAAACATTATACATACTTCATGGACGTGGAGGCAGCATTCTTCGTGCTTCCTGGGTGACTTGTAAAGGTTGTATCATGCCATCAGTAGGGGAAGTGCACAGAGCTTCCCCTTCCATTTGATCACTATTGATCACTATTTCTAGTATGGTCTTGAGGACCACAATAATGAATCTTCTTTACCATCTGCCGGGCCTCAGAAAATCTGCTTGCATCATGTCAGGACTGGAGGGGTCAAGGATATAATGATTTTGCATGCTGTGAGTGGTTTCCCTTAGACTGGGTAGAGCATAATGAACATCTTAGAGGCCTAACTACACGGGTATAGTAGGAGATACAAGATAAGGGTAAAATATAGAAGAAGGGAGGGTAAGGACATGGAAAGGAGTAAGACATAGAAGTGGGGTAAAAGACACAGAAGAGGGTAAAGACACTAACGAGAGATAAGTGACACAAGATGGGGACAAGTAAGAAACAAAAGGAAGCATATAAGGGACAAAAGGAGGGATAGCCAGGGGTCAAGGTCTAGAAAAAAAGTTTGGAAACTCACCTACGTTTTCCAACACCTCCTCTCAAAAAAAGTAAAATTCAAATGATACGCTCCTATCAGGGGCAGACTGACAACTCATTGGGTCCCCAGGCAATAGGAGATCATGAGGTCCACTTGTGCCACCATCTTGCATGTAAGACCTGCCCACTTACACACACTGCCCACATGTACATCCTTGTATTACAGAAATGTTTTTAATTTTGGGTTAGGATCTTTTGTGGGGAACTGGATGTATACTGTGTGTGACTGGGGTTGTTGTGGGGGAATAGGGATTGTAGTGGTTGTAATTGGTGTGGAGGTTGGGTTTGTAAAGGGCTTAAATGGGGGTTATGAGCTGTGGAGGCAATAATGTGGAGGATAGGGACTGTCATAAGGGGGAAACAAGCTATTTTGTGGGGATTAGGTTGTTTTGTGGGGGACAGAGGCTGTAATGTGGGAATAGGTGATGCAGTTGGTAGACAGGAGCTGTAGTTGGAAGTTAGGTGTTGTAGTGGGTTAATTGATGGTTGTAATGGCTGTAATGGGCTGATATGAACTGTAGTGTGGGTGTTGGCTGGTTAGGGGCTCTAATGTAGATGTAGGGGCTGTTGTGTGGTAATATATGTTGCAATGTGAATGTACAGGGACTATACATCTATAACACACTGTCACTAAACAATAATCCATACTCTACACATTAAACCATTAAACAGTAACCATTAACCCCTACACTACCATAACATTTACAATAACACCAATGTTAAACATATCATGTACTATGAAAGGTACATAACTGTGAACGGTGTGTGCCGGGAAAATAATAGGGACAAAAGGAGGGATAGTCAGGGGTCAAGGTCTAGAAAAAAAGTTTGGAAACTCACCTAAGTTTTCCAACACCTCCTCTCAAAAAAAGTAAAATTCAAATGATACGCTCCTATCAGGGGCAGACTGACAACTCATTGGGTCCCCAGGCAATAGGAGATCATGAGGTCCACTTGTGCCACCATCTTGCATGTAAGACCTGCCCACTTACACACACTGCCCACATGTACATCCTTGTATTACAGAAATGTTTTTAATGTTGGGTTAGGATCTTTTGTGGGGAACTGGATGTATACTGTGTGTGACTGGGGTTGTTGTGGGGGAATAGGGATTGTAGTGGTTGTAATTGGTGTGGAGGTTGGGTTTGTAAAGGGCTTAAATGGGGGTTATGAGCTGTGGAGGCAATAATGTGGAGGATAGGGACTGTCATAAGGGGGATACAGGCTATTTTGTGGGGATTAGGCTGTTTTGTGGGGGACAGAGGCTGTAATGTGGGAGTAGGTGATGTAGTTGGTAGACAGGAGCTGTAGTTGGAAGTGATATATGCTGTAATGGGGAATAGGGGCTGTAGTGGGGGGTTGAGGGTTGTATTGTGGGCATAGGGATGGTAGTTGGTGGATACAGACTGTAGTATGTGAGTTGGGTGAGTAGTGGCAGAAATGGGGAGATAGAGATATGGAATGGAGGGTAGGGGCTGTAATGCGTGTGTGGGGATGTATATGCACTTCTTACACGCTTGACAGAGTACAGCGTCTGAGCATTGCCATGGTAACCCACAGTAACCATCTGACAGCTAGGACTCACAAGAGGCAAAGGAGCAAACAGAGAGCCTCCTGGACTACCCCTCGCACTGTACAGGCCTGCAATGTCCCGGGAAGAAAGATGTTTCACCGTAGCTTTATCAGGTCTCGAGTCCTGCAGGAACAAATTACAGAAACATTGTTCCCCTGTTTTCCTGCAGGACTTGAGTCCTTGAGTAAGATGCACTAGGTGCAGAAGTTGTGTTAAGAGGGTTTAAAAGGGAATACAAAACACAAAATAGGCAAAAGTATGATTAGGAGACACAAAAGGGGTGGTTAAGAGGCACAGGGAGGGTAAGAGTAACAAAGGGTAACAGGGGTTAAGAGACATGTCAGGTGGTAAAGGGAGCTGAAAAAGGGATTAAGAGAGACACACAAGCAGGGTCAATACACACAGGTGAAGAGGGACGCCAAGCAACACATACAAGAAAATTACAATTCTTGAGGTGTGGTGTAATATATAGTTTTGCCTCAATTGCCAAGTAATCTTAATACACCAATTAAATATGTTTGGGAAAAATAAATGGACAGAAGAAAAAGATGAGATTCAATGGAGAAATGCATAAAACTAATATTTTTTATGACAAATTTAAAGGATTCCCTGATCAGCACTTTACTGTTAAATCATCATATTCTGTTTATAAACAATTGAACAGACTCCTCTTTTGGTCTCTATTTAAAAAGCTCACTAATTAAGTTACAGTGCTAGTTAAAGTGAAAATGAACTCTATCATCGACTGTTCCTAATAGAAGCAAAGAGGACCTTAGAGAACTCAAATAATGTAAATAACATGCTATTGTGAAATAATAATAAATATTCTTTGAATCATGAGCTTCTAATTACAGATTTTTGTAGACACATTGCACAGATTGCACCTTTAATAAGTCATATTTGCATGATGTAACTGGAGGGAAGAGAACCATCTGGTCACCTTCCCTTTGGTGATTGAAGTCATTTAACAGACATTTGGGCATCAGAAATGTCCTTCCTAAAACATCTGTGTCATAAGCCTACAGTGACTGTGTTTCTTGTGATATAAATGTGAAGCTGGGCTGTTACTTTTCAGCACAGTTAACATGTCCTTTCAATTGATATTTTATTAATTTGCTTGCATTCATTGTGGGATATCTATGAAGTGGCATAAAGCATTGGTTCTCCTTCACTTTATATTTAGAGTGATACCAGGGACTGGGCATATGTGGTGCCACAGATACTGTTTGTTAGCACCCCCATTCTGCTCACCCATAATCATGGTTAAGGATGATGGAATATTAAGTGAACAGTTAATGTTGGTGGCTTGCAGTCCCAGTTACATATGTACCATTAAGGAGGATGCGGTAATAAGTTGACAGTTGGTGGTTTACTGCCCCAGGTACATCTGTATCATATGCGAAGGAACTACCTTAAACTGTACTTTTTTTTTTTTTTTTTTTTAATATTGATATCTGCTATGGCAGGCTCACATGAAGATGCCTGGATGCATTTGTCCATGCAATTTTCCCACTTTTCCTCTTCTTTGAAATTGAGGTTTAAAGGACCACTATAGTGCCAGGAAAACATACTCGTTTTCCTAGCACTATAGTGCCCTGAGGGTGCCCCCACCTTTTAAAATGTAACTGCCCCAACCCACAGTGAGCTCTCTTACTTTTAATATTGGGGTGGGGGCAAATGGCCAGGTTTCCGAAATATTATCACAGCCACTGGAGCTATGGTAATAACTGCATAATCAAATTGTTTTAACTCCTACATAGCAGAGAATTAAAGAGTGAGATTGGTGGGGCATTATCTATATACCCAAACTGCTTAATTGAGCTATAGTTTTGGAATTGAAATGATGAAATAATTTAATTAAAAATGTGGATCGTCTGCATTGGATTTTACTCTCAGACCATCCAAATCAATACACTGAATTTTCACACCCCGTGCAAGTCCAGTTATTAACCAACAGACATCTATGGGAGGATTTCAACAAATGAGAAAGCATATTTTGGTTGGGCATGAAAGCTCTTTACCTAATGCATACACTTAAATAAATATAAGACATAACATAATACCTGTATATTATGTCATATTAGGGTACATAACATATTAACAACGTACATGAAACTAAGCCTTAATAAAAATACATACTTGTTGTAACACAGCTCAGGCCACAGTCTCCATCACACAAGCATCTCCTCTTTAATCCACATTCCTGGTTTCGAGTACAGGCTTTCTGGCATGTCTGACCGAGAGGATTGAATTTTCTAATGGGGCATGCATCTGGATTTTCTGGAAAGGTGAATATATACAGAATATAATACTGTTTGATCAACTGACCAGTGAAGATATCTCAAATAGACTTGGAGATATATTTCATAGAAACATAGAAACATTGAATATGACGGCAGATAAGAACCATTCGTCCCATCTAGTCTGCCCAATTTTCTATATACTTTCATTAGTCCCTGGCCTTATCTTATAGTTAGGATAGTCTTATGCCTATCCCATGCATGCTTAAACTCCTTTACCACTTCAGCTGGAAGGCTATTCCATGCATCCACTACCCTCTCGGTAAAGTAATACTTCCTGATATTATTTTTAAACCTTTGTCCCTCTAATTTAAGACTATGTCCTCTTCTTGTGGTAGTTTTTCTTCTTTTAAATATAGTCTCCTCCTTTACTGTGTTGATTCCCTTTATGTATTTAAATGTTTCTATCATATCCCCCCTGTCTTGTCTTTCCTTCAAGCTATACATGTTAAGATCCTTTAACCTTTCCTGGTAAGTTTTATCCCACAATCCATGAACCAGATAAGTAGCCCTTCTCTGAACCCTCTCTAAGGTATCAATATTCTTCTGAAGATACGGTCTCCAGTACTGTGTACAATACTCCAAGTGAGGTCTCACCAGTGTTCTGTACAATGGCATGAGCACTTCCCTCTTTCTACTGCTAATACCTCTCCCTATACAACCAAGCATTCTGCTAGCATTTCCTGCTGCTTTATTACATTGTCTGCCTACCTTTAAGTCATCAGAAATAATCACCCCTAAATCCCTTTCCTCATATGTTGAGGTTAGGACTCTATCAAATATTCTGTACTCTGCCCTTGGGTTTTTACGTCCAAGATGCATTATCTTGCACTTATCCACATTAAATGTCAGTTGCCACAATTCTGACCATTTTTCTAGTTTACCTAAATCATTTGCCATTTGGCTTATCCCTCCTGGAACATCAACCCTGTTACATATCTTAGTATCATCAGCAAAAAGACATACCTTACCATCAAGACCTTCTGCAATATCACTAATAAAAATATTAAAGAGAATGGGTCCAAGTACAGATCCCTGAGGTACCCCACTGGTGACAAGTCCAAGCTTCGAATATATTCCATTAACTACAACCCTCTGTTGCCTGTCACTCAGCCACTGCCTTACCCATTCAACAATATTGGAATCCAAACTTAAAGATTACAGTTTATTGATAAGCCTTCTATGTGCAACAGTATCAAAAGCCTTACTGAAATCTAGGTAAGCAATGTCTACTGCACCACCCTGATCTATAATTTTAGTTACCCAATCAAAAAAATCAATAAGATTAGTTTGGCATGATCTCCCTGAAGTAAACCCATGTTGTCTCTGATCTTGAAATCCATGTGTTTTTAGATGTTCAACAATCCTATCCTTTAACATGGTTTCCATCACTTTCCCCACTACTGAAGTAAGGCTTACTGGCCTATAGTTGCCCGACTCCTCCCTATTACCTTTCTTGTGAATGGGCACAACATTTGCTAACTTCCAATCTTCTGGGACTACTCCTGTTAACAATGATTGGTTAAATAAATCTGTTAATGGTTTTGCTAGTACACCACTAAGCTCTTTTAATAGCTCTGGGTGTATTCCATCAGGTCCCATTGACTTATCTGTCTTTACTTTTGACAGTTGAAATAGAACCTCTTCCTCTGTAAACTCACGTGTAATAAATGACTCATTAATCCTTTTTCTTAACTGAGGTCCCTCTCCTTAATTTTCATCTGTAAATACAGAACAAAAATATTCATTGAGGCAGTCAGCTAGACCTGTATCCTCTTCTACACACCTTCCTTCTTTTGTTTTTAATCTAACTAATCCTTGTTTTACTTTTCTTTTCTCATTTATGTATCTAAAAAAAGTTTTGTCCCCCTTTTTTACTGACTGTGCTATTTTCTCTTGTGTGTGTGATTTGGAAGCTCTTATAACTTGCTTAGCCTCTTTCTGCCTAATCTTATAGATAATTTTGTCTTCCTCACTCTGTTTTTTTTTTATAATTACTAAATCCTAACTTTTTGTTTTTAACCATTTTGGCCACATCTGCGGAGTACCACAGTGGTTTCTTGAATTTTTTACTTTTACTGACAAGCCTAATGCAATTTTCTGTTGCCTTCAGTAGTGCAACTTTTTAATAATCCCATTTCTCTTGGACTCCATTTAAATTGCTCCAGTCTGATAAAGACTCCTCTACACATATTCCCTAATTTTAGAAAAGTCAGTTTTTCTAAAGTCTAAAACTTTTGTTTTTGTGTGGTGTGACTCAGTCACTGTTCTTATATTAAACCACACTCACTGATGATCACTGGATCCTAAACTTTCACCTACAGTAATATCTGATACCAAATCTTAATTTGTTAACACTAAATCTAGTATGGACTCTTTATGAGTTGGCTCTTCCACGACTTGTTTTAGAGACAATCCCAGTAGGGAGTTTAGAATATGTGTGCTCCTGGCACAAGCAGCTTTTTTGTTTTACAATTTACATCAGGAAGATTAAAGTCACCCATGATGATAACTTCCCCCTTCATTGTCATTTTAGCTATTTCCTCAACTAGTAGATTATCTAATTCTTCAATTTGTCCTGCGGGCCTATAAATCACACCTACACGAGTTACTGTGTGATTACCAAATTCTAACGTAACCCAAACGGACTCTATGTTCGCCTCACTAACTTTTATCAGGCTAGATTTTATGCTATCCTTCACATATAGGGCCACCCCTCCCCCTTTCTTGCCTTCCCTATCTTTTTGCCATGTCCCAGTCATTTTTCTCATTATACCATGTCTCAGTAACAGCGACTAAATCTACACTATCAGTTGCCATTATTGCCGCAAGTTCATGGATATTATCCCCTAAACTGCGAGCATTTGTAGACATGACTCTAAGCTTATCATTTTTTAACACACTTGCTACAGGCACCTTCTGTCCTTGTTTTGGGGGACAACTGGATTGATGTTTTATCACCCTTTTGCCCCCCTCCCCTCCTAGTTTAAATACAGCCTAGCAAAACCTCTGAACTGCTCACTGAGAACATTTGTTCCCTTTTGAGAAAGATGCAAACCATCTTTTTTGTACAGGTTATTTCCATTCCAAACAGAGCTACCATGAGAAAATAAGCCAAATCCTTGCTCCCGACACCATTCACCAAGCCACAAATTAAAGTCCCTAATACGCATCCGCCTGTCATTCTGAGTGTTATGCACAGGCAGAACTTCAGAGAATGACAGTGTGGAAGCAACCTGCCGTATATCATTGGCAAAAACACTAAAAACTTCCTTAACCTCTGAAACCTCATTGCAAGCCAAGTCATTTGTCCCTAGATGGACAAGTACATCCAATTCCCCTTCCTGCTTTGCTTGCTTAACAATATTACAGATACGTCTCCTGTCTCTGTGAGCAGTAGCTCCGGGAAGACACCTCACAAGACCACCATTGTCCATCTCCACACCTCTTATGATGGAATCCCCCAACAACAACTGCTTTCTATTAGGCCTCACCATAGTCTCCAAGCCGGTCTCCACAACACCACTAGCCTCAGTGCCTCTCTCCACAACACCACTAGCCCCATTGCCCCTCTCCACAACACCACTAGCCTCATTGCCCCTCTCCACAACACCACTAGCCTCAGTGCCCCTCTCCACAACACCACTAGCCTCAGTGCCTCTCTCCACAACACCACTAGCCTCAGTGCCTCTCTCCACAACACCACTAGCCTCAGTACCTCTCTCCACAACACCATTACACTCTGAAAGTGCAGAAAATTAATTATATAGAGCAACAGACTGTGCAATATGCCTTTTATCCACAACTCTAAGTCTGCCAGATCCTGCAGTAATCCATCTGCCATTCCTAGTATGTCTCTGCGGCAGTGGCTTTGCAGCAGTTCCAGTCTGAGTTTGTTCACCAGATAATTTACATATCTCAGACTTCAAAAATACAATCTCCTGCCGCAAGATAGAGAACTGTCTACAGATTAGACAACAACCAAACCTCCAAAAAGTGAAACGTGAAACAAATGCATAGCAACTATTACGCTGAACTAAGTCTGCCATTCCAATGAGGAGAATAATTTAAATCAAACGAATCTTAACTTTTTATTTATCCTCCTGAATACCTCAGATTACCTCTAGGTTATTTCCAGAATATCTCCAACCACACACTTAGAAGCAACACTCTCCAGAATATCTCCAACCACACACTTAGAAGCAACACTCTCCAGAATATCTCCAACCACACACTTAGAAGCAACACTTAGATGAAGCAACCAAGCTATATTAGCCAAGCTAATGACACTAGGAATGTTTAACACCTGGGTAGGCCTCTGCTTATTTTCAAACAATAGCTAATTTAAACAGCAATCAATAGCAAGTAGCTAACTAATCAAATCAAATGCCTTATAATTACCAACAGGAAATCAAACCTTGTGCAATCAGTAACCTTTTCCTACAGATGAATCTTATCTGTAACAGTAGAAAAGAAAACTCTTAGCACAACTCTTATACAGTTGAAGCTTCTGTAAAACTCTCCAGAATATCTCCAACCACACACTTAGAAGCAACACTTAGATGAAGCAACCAAGCTATATTTTTCAGGACAAACTGCAATTGGGATGATTTTGGGTCAATATGATGATCGTACGAAATTCTACAATTCTACAAACACATTTGGACTTGCACAAGTCCAAACATGTTTAGCTCAGTTCTTGATTCAGAATGCCAATCCCAACGCCAGAAAAAAAGGGGATAAAAAGGGTTAGAAGCTATTTTTTGGCGTCGGGCAAATACGAAGTGTAAATCTCCATGATGATCAAGAGGTCCAATCAAGTTGTAATAAAAAAAAAGATGACTGATGGTTAGAGGACAGCCATATACAGGCTTATTCACTAAATTAAGAATTCAATTAAATTCAACTAAATTAGTGAATTTCAACTGTCAGCTACGCTTTCAGTTTAGCCAGTCTGGTCTGAAATTTCAAATTCATTTTGAATTCCCAATTTAGTACATATTCCAGTAAATGTTTAATTTATTCACAGATCAAGTGACAACTAACCAACAGAGAGAAAAAGATGCAGCAGTAAAGCAATTTATATGTCAAGCTAGATATATCCAGACACTTTGACAGCATCGATACAGTCTATATTACCCTTATTGTGCTCTAATCAACCAAATGTGTTGCAATAGCTTCTACTGCCACGGATGCAAATCCACCTGCAGTAGACGGAAGGCAAATGGTTGGGACTAATGTATTGCCAAAAACTTAAATATACTTTAAAACTATACTATATATACTATAAAACAAAAACACACAAATATAAAAAAGACTGCTTTACAATAAAAACTGCTAGAGCCTGAAACACATAAATTGACTTACAAGGGTTAAAAAACAAGAAATCAATATAGAGGGTAATTTTACAAACTAATTTATTATAAAGCAGTCTTGATAAAGGAGTGTAAGATGAAATGCAAAGACTAAGGTGCCAAACCTATTTGCTCTGGATTGCCAAATTGGCCACTGAAATATGTAAGGAGGGCCAAATGCATATTATATATACATATGAGAAAATGGACCAATACCAAGGATTGAAAGAAGAACAAGAAAGGATGTGGAGAGTTAAGGCAGTAGTAGTCTCAGTTGTGATTGGGACACTTGGCCTGTGACTCCCACATGGGGGAGAGGCTTAAACAGATTCCACGTGTAACATCTGAGTTTGCTGTCCTGAAGAGTGGCCGGTAGAGAATCCGAGATTAAGGAAGAAATATACCACCCAGGAAGGCTGAGAAAAAAAAAATCAAATATATATATATATATATATATATATAAACATACATACATACACACATGCACAAACAATAAACAACTTTACATAATGTCATAAATGTAATGTATTACTTTATTATAACAATAAAAAGTGAATTTGTGTGTAGTGTTGGCATGTGAATACAGGTATGCGATTGCTTGTAGTGTTGACAATCGTATGCCAGGGTGTATATGTGCTTATTAGTATAGGTAAATGCAGTTGGGTGTTTCAATGCAGGGGTGTGCTTGTAGTAATGGTGTTTGAATGCAGTGCTGTATTTTCTTGTAGTACCTGTGTTTGAATGCATGAGTTTATTTGTATGCTGGGGCCTATTTGTGTGCACTGTTGGAGTTTCAATGCAGGGATGTATGTAGTGCAACACACACAGATACACACCCTGACACACAAACATATATATATATATATATATATATATATATACACACACACACACACACTTAGATACACATAAGTACACAGACACACAAATATAAGTAACAATTAACATAGGAGTTATAACTACGCTCCTATTTCCTTACCTTTTGGGTGCAGTAGGGTGGTTTTCCTGGGGTGATGTGGGAGCAGGCTAACCAAGCCTGATAATAGTCTGAGGTTCCAGGCTATCCTTTCCCCTCGTGAGTATGTGGGCCTGCTCCTGCCTCCCTGCACAACTCTCAGCAACCTGAACCCACTTCCTCCCAGCAGGCCACGGGTTGAAACGAATGCTGAGACAGGAGCCTGGTTCGATGTGCTATCAAAAGGCTGGAAGCAGCAAGGTGTATTTTTAGTGAAGGGCTCACCTAGAAGGTTTGCCTTGACATGGCAGGTGAGCGTACACTCAGTGGTAATAAAAAAACCTCTAGTTATTTAAATGTGCATAGGGATTTGGATACCAGGCAGGTAATGTTTCTTTTTTGTTTCTATTCAATAAATGCAGGCTGATGAATGTTGTAGCCATTGCTGCAGCCCAGAATTAGTGGGTGTTTGATCTTCATTTTGTGTGTTTGTATTTGTTTGCGTCATATAGCCATGTCACAATGCTGCAGCCCACCCCATGTATTCCAAATGAATTGTTAATAACTGTGTAGTGGTCATAAAAATACCACGTTCGGTCTTAATATAGATTTTTGCCTTTTAGCTGATAGCAGCAGGATGATTTGTTAGTGTAGAACTCACATCGGAGTTGAGTTTACGCTTAAATGGCAATCGGATTAATTCTAAAAAACCTCCAGTTAATGAAATGTGCATAGGGATTTGGGATAGAGCACAGATAACATTTTGGTTTCTGTACTACCACTACTACTGGCAGAGTAAGGATGATGTTGAGGATAGTGCCAGTAGTCAACAGGAACACCTCATCATCTGGTGAATTATGTGGGATTTCCCTAGTTAAAGGGACACTGTAGGCACCCAGACCACTTTAGCTCATTGAAGTGGTCTGGGTGCAATGTCCTATGTCCCTTAACCCTACAGTCGTAATTATTGCAGTTTCTGAGAATGCGCGTGCGCATTAGACCTCCCCTACCGGCAGAACCGGATCCAGGGCTTAAGGGACATCGGCTCTGTATTCAGGTAAGTGACTGAAGGGGTTTTAATCCAGTCAGCACTGCAGGGGTGAGGGAGGGGGGCACTGCAGGATTCTATAGTGCCAGGAAAATGGGTGTGTTTTCCTAGCACTATAGAATCCATTTAAGGATATGACGCTGTTTAGCAGATAGCTTCATAATATGGTACCCTTATGTGGAATTGCCTATTTAAGGATACCAAGTAGAATACTATTAAGGTATATCTAAAAATGAAAAATATATACACTGATCAGCTACAATATCGTACAGGTCCTCCTCATGTTGCCAAAACAGCTCTGTTGCATTGAGGCATGAACTCCACTAGAGCTCTGAACGTGTCCTGTATTATCTGGCACCAAGACAATAAAAGTAGACCCTTTAAGTCCTCCAAATTGTGAGGTGGGCCTCCATGGATTGGTTTTGTTGTTCCAACACATCACACAGATGCCCAATCAGATTGAGAGGCCACTGCATCGGGAAAACTATTACCATGAAGGGGTGTACGTGGTTTACAACAATCTCTAGGTAGGTGGTACATGTCTAATTAACATTCACATGAATACCAGGACCCAAGGTTTTCCAAGCAGAACAATGTCCACACCAAACTTTTTATTGCTCCCTGGTTCAGTCCTGATGCCCACATCCCCATTAAAAGTGCTTTCTGTGATGAACAGGGGTCAATATAAGCACTCTGACCGGTTAGCCATAAATGCAGCAAACTAATTAATTAGACATGTATCACCACTTTGTGTTCTGACACGTTTCTATTGTAGCCAGCATCAAGTTTTGCAGCAATTTGAGCTACAGAAGAAAACTCTGTGTGATTGGACCTTTAATATGCCTTGGGCACCCATGACCCTGACGCCAGTACACTCATTGTCCTTACTTGCACCACTTTTGGTAGGTACTAACTAATGCATACCTGGAACACCCCACAAGACCTGCCGTTTTGGAGATGCTGTCACCCAGTCGTCTAACCATCACTATTTGATCCTTTGTTAAAATAGTATCTCTCACAAACTCACAAATTTACAAAAAGTGTTTCTGGTGTCCACATGCAATAACACTGTTTCTCCCAAAAAGTGATTATAGTGGAAAATATAAATATTAGCAACTTCCCTCAATAGCATAGGATATGCCCGAAGATCTCCTCTTATCTTCAATTCAACACATGTATAGCACATACTATAGTATAGTGTGGGCTATTCCAGCTAGGGAAGCAAAAATATAACATGCAACACTGTGTATAATAATACTGTGTATAAAATTTGTATCCAGCATTTTGTAAAAGATTGTCCCTGAGGAAGTGCCTGACAGTGACGAAACGCGTTGGACTACTATTGAACATATTTTTCATCATCTGCTATTATTTACTTTGATGTAAGTAATAAATGCTGCTTTTTGTACTTTATGTACTCAGTTACTTCATTATATTCTTGCATTTTTCTATCTTTTGTATGAGATTATCATCTATTCAGCATTGAAGCAAGAAGACACACACCAATATATTTCTGAAGGCACTTTATTTGATGTCAAAGTGTGAGTTATTACTTGGCACTTAATTTTATATACACTATTTGATCCTTGTCAAAATCTCTTTTGCTAGTAGATTTGTCATCCTTCCAACAAATTAAATTCAAGAGCTGAATATTCACTTGCTGCTTAATATATCCCACCCATTGACAAGTGCAAGTGTTGCAATATAATCAATGTTATTTACTACTTGTCAGTGGTTTTGATGTTTAACTTCTAACATTATATCTCCTATAAACAAAACAAATAGCTTGGTCAAGGCATTGGAGCAGTGCCGGTGCAAGGATTTTTGTCGGCCTAGGCAAACAAAAATTTGCCGCACCCCCCATATGCTCTGCCCACCATGTGACATCACAATGCCCCACCCATATGATCTGCCATATGAGCCAACGCCAATGCTGCACACAGTGTCTTTTCTCTGAAAAAGCAGTGTGTTTGCATTAAAAAGCCTCAGGTACAGGCTATAGACACCAGGGCCACTACATTAAGCTGTATTGGTTCTAGTGACTATAGTGTCCCTTAATGGGAAGTAAATTAGAGATTAGTGCCACTAATAATATACTGGATTGACTACTTACCACCAGATGAGGACAAGAGGACGATGATGGGGTCAGGCTGCAGGCTGGCTCCACTGATCTGGTGGAGCAGTGCTCACAAAAATCAACGAACAGGAAGCAGCTCCATTTTTGGGGGCCCCTTACACAGATCACAGTCCGGGCCCCCCAGGGCCGGACCGTGGGTATGCCTACAAAGCCTGCCCATAAGCCTTATGCCTACACACCCACCCATGAGTTCGCCCACAGGGAGTGGAGTATATGTGTATAGGGGATGTATTATGTGTTTTTGTAGAGGATGTAGTGTGTCTGTGTGTTCTTATGGAATGTAGTGTGTAGGGATGCCAGTTTGTGTAAGGGATGTAGAATCTGTGTATAGGGGATGCAGTGTGTGTGTGTGTGTAAGGGATGCATTGTGTGAATCTGTGTTTGTATGTGTAAGGGATACAAGGTGTGTTTCTGTGTATGTAATGTAATGCAGTGTGTGTGTGTCTGTAATGGGTGCATTGAGTGTGTGTGTAATGGATGCATGTTGTGTTTCTGTGTGAGTGTAGGATGCATTGTATGTTTCGGTGTGTCTGTATGTGTGTAGGGATGCATTGTGTGTGTCTGTGTATGTGTAAGGATGCATTGTGTATCTGTGTAATGTCTTAGTGTTGTCCCCTCCCCTTCTGTCTCTTAGTGTTCTTCTATCCTTTAGTGCTCTCCCATCCCTTAGTGATCTCCCCTCCCCACCTGTCCTTAGTGATCCCCCCCCCACCTTTCCTTTAGTACTCCCCAGTGGTCTCTCCCATCTGTTTCTTAGTACTGTCGCCCCTGTTGTGCCTCCTACCTCAGTGTAGCGTGGCCAGGCAGCTGGACTGACAGAAAGTGCTCACTCAGTGCGCACTTCCTTTCAGTCCGGCCGGGTACAGAAAACATAAGCTCCTGTACCTCCGTTCGCGCTGCTCGGCCACGCTACACTGAGTGACAGGTAGGAGCATAGGCGTGCGCAGCCTATTGCATTAGAGTGTGCACCCTAAAGCACAAGCACACACCGCGTGTATATGTATGTATATAGTGGAAAATGTATTCATACTTACCGTAATTTTCTTTTCCTGGCTATTATTCAAATGGGTTAGCTCCTCCCCTTACAGCCAATAGGACAGGAAAACCACCAAGGTTTTAAAGGGAGGCTCCATCCCTAAGGTCCTCAGTCAGTTTACAAGCTCTACAGTACACAAATAGAGACATTAATGGGTGGGAAGCCAGGATTCCTAGTAGTTGCATCTATTTTCTTGCGGTTACCAAGCAGAGATGAAGAAACTGGGAGAGAAAACCTTCACAATCTGTGGAACTGTTCCTGAGATAGGGAAAAGCAGAGCATGGAATTTTCCACTCGGGAATGTCAACCACTGAGCTGGTGTGAAACTGCTTTTCTTGATATTCATCAAGCAGCCAAACTTTAGGAGTTATGAAAGAACTATATACCTATGTGTGCCTGCCTTCTGAGGGTCTAAGGCTATCAGAAGTAGATCCTCCAGATAATGGAACCAGGTGGAGTTCTGGACTCTCAATAACACTATAAGCACATATAAAGATTCTTGAGGTCGCATTGAGGCCAAATGGTAGGGCACTAACTTGGAAGTTCTCTTCTAAACTAATGCCGAAGATCTCTGCAGATTGGACTGCAACTAAGCATCCTTGAGATATATAGAGGTAAGGAAATTATCCTTCCAGATTGCTTGAGATATGGATCTGATTGACTCCATCCCAAAGACTCTGACATTCAGCCTCTTGTTGGCCCCTCTTAGGTCCAGTGTAGGCTTCCATGTGCTTTTCCTCTTAGCACCAGAAGAGAGGTGAAACTTGTCCCTGGAACTGCTCTTGTTCTGGGACCTAAAAAAAATCACCTCTTTGTCCAGAATGCTTCTTCCTTCAGTGCTTTACCTTTTGATTCATTGGTCTTAATACTCTTGTTGGTATGGAGATTCCTGTGCCTGAAGAAAAAACTCCAGTCTATATCAATCTGGACTATGGATACCACTCAAGCCTCCAGAGTATGACGAGCCCAGGTATGTGTGATCAAAAAAATTAGGCTCCTAGTACTTGAGGAGACATGTTCATTGTTGAAGAGCAAAACGACTGCTTAATAGCTCTATTAGAACCTTGAAAGACAGGTTTACCAACTGCAGTTACCTCTGGAGTATACCCTGCAGGGTCAGTAACACCATGTATCTCAGAAATACTGGTCACTGGAGGTTCTCCGGTCAGACTATGAGGAGCTGGGATCATTGGAACTTCCGTCCTGAGGTACAAATATCTTGCAGCCCTCATTCACCTTTTCAATGGAATTATTCAAAGTTTTCCCAAACAGCACCACCCCTTCACATAGAATGGTGTAGAGGGCAGACTTGGAGGATGAGTCATCATCCCAGAAACAGAACCATAATACTTTCTTAGCTGCTATAGATAAAGCCATTTGATCCAGAGAATATCCTAGTTAAATCTAGGAAAGTTAATGTGAAAAAGTCAGTTGTAACCTGATCATCACATGCTGGGAGGAGGTGACTCCCCAACACTCCTCCCAGCTATCACTGAGAGCCCGCGCGGGAGGGAGTCAGAGTGGGAACTCTGACTACCATCAACCTGAGCCACCACTGGACCCCAGGGAAAGTCAACCTCCTGCACTTAAAAGGTAGGAAACAGGAGGGTTACTTAAATATTATGTGTGTGTTTGTATGTATGTATGTATGTGTGCCTGTCTGTTTGTATGTATGTGTCTTTGTATGCATGTCTTGTGTGTGTCTGTATGTGTGTGTGTGTTTGTATGTATGTGTGTGTGTGTCTATCTGTCTGTATGTATGTGTGCCTGTCTGTTTTTATGTATGTATGTGTCTTGTGTGTGTGTCTGTGTGTGTGTGTGTGTGTGTGTGTGTGTCTGTATTTGTGTGTGCCTGTTTGTATGTATGTCTTGTCTGAATGTATGTGTGCATGTCTGTCTGTTTATATGTATGTATGTGTCTTTGTATGTATGTGTGCCTGTCTGTATATATGTGTGCCTGTCTGTCTGTTTGTATGTATGTGTCTTTGTATGTGTGTGTCGTGTGTGTATGTATGTGTCTGTATCTGTCTGTATGTATGTATATGTCGTGTGTGTATGTATGTGTCTGTATCTGTCTGTCTGTGTGTGTGTCTCTGTATGTATGTATGTGTGTGTGTCTGTCGAAGGGGGGATTTAGAGAGGGGGGGTCATGGGTTGTGTGTACGCCACTGCCCACACTGCTAGATATACACAGAAATGCAGAAAAACCCTCCCCTCATACAAATACAAACAGCCCGCACACAAACATACACAAAATCATCACAAGCTCAACACCACTAGCAATCCACATACATGCAGTCTCTTACATACAATACCCCAAACAGTCCCACACATACACACACTACCAAACACACAATGTGACAAATCCATCCACACACACAAAATTGCACAAGCAGCCCACATACACAGCCCAAATTCATAGGTATCATACACGATACCACAATCTACTCATGAACATATACAATATTATAGCTCATATACACACAAATACAACAATACAAATCAACTGCAGTATAAATAACACAAGCAGAATACGGCAACATACACCCCTCAATTTAAAAAAATAGGACCAGCACACACTACGGGACATAACAATCCTATTTCGGGACAGTGCTGCTAAAAGGTTGCCTACCCCTGATCTACATAATTAAGGAACGTTGGCAAAAATGTCCATTCAGATACAAATTGAAAATTAGTCCATGAAAATATATATGTGGTTATTGTAGTAAAACACAAAACCAATAAGTCACAGATAAAGAGAGAATACGATTGTAATCTCTACAATCAAGTTTGAAATAGTTAATGCACAAAATAAATATTTAAAAACTGAAAAAGGAATCAAAGATACAACAAACCACAACTATTGTTGTTCAGAAACTAACCCCTGTTGCTATAGTTCATCTGCACCAACTAATATTTGATAGTGGAAAAACATATGGCAAGAAAATTAATTCTGTTAGTATGTTCTAAATTAATCACAGTGATGTTCTTTTTACTATATATAGTCTTAAAAGTGTTAAATTCTGCAGAGATGTTGAAATGACACATTTGAAACTAGACTTGCTGTGAAACATAGAAACAAGTAAAAAAAAAAAAGATGCAAAAAGGAAATCATGTCAGATTTTGAGGGGTTTATTGTTAAACAATGAGTTCTTTTAAACTTGCTTATTATTATAATGGTAGTTTGGTGGATTATATTAACAGTGAATGGACGGTTAAGTTGATGTTTTTATTTGCCACATTGTACTTTTAGCTTCACTTTGTCAAGTTCAGCTTAACCTAAAACTGCAACTGCCAATTTGCATGGAGCTTGATGCGAATTCCTGTTGATATGCCCACTCATGTTTGCTGGTTAACATTATAGAGTAATAAATAGTCAGGTAGCTGGAGAACTACATTCTGGATATGGGCACACCTGGTACTATACTTTACCCGTGATAACTATTTCTTGATAAAAACATGCAGTACTGAAAATTTCCACTAGATGTCAATGTAAACTTTGTAAAATTCTGCCATAAACCGTATGTATTAATTACAATTTTATTTTAAAAAATTGCCATGCTATGTAAAGCCATCAAAGCTACGGAAGTGATTTTTCTAGATATACCAACAAAGGATCACAAAACAATCTCAACCAAAATAGTAGTTCCAGACCATCTTTACTATCTCAAACAAAAGCATATCATTACGTAACAGGTATAAAAATCAATTTTGTGACACTGTATTTTACTTGTATATTTCAGGTGGTGGGATACAAATACACAACAGGGCAGCAAAGGTGACAGCCACCAAAACAAGGTGGAAAAATAGCATAACTGGAGCTGAAAGTGGTGTGTGGCTCTTTAGGAGAGCAAGAGACATTTAGATAAGTTACTCTGGGAGTCCATTGGCACCAAATATCACTGGCTGATTGATCTCTCACAGAATTACACTATTCTTATTTATTTTTTCTTTCCTTTTTATGGTATATGCTAGAATATACATTAATCTGTATCTCTATATAAGTATAGTAGGTAATTATGTCACAATTTGTCATGCTCCACCATCTTGGTTTGGTTTGTCAGTTATGTTGAGAACAAAACACTTTTCCACTACCTGATGTGAGGTGGACCCACAGAACGATGAGACAATTTGGCTCAGTCCAACCATTTTTTCTGAAAATAGGACATTTTTCAAGACACTCAAATTTTAGCCATATGTCTGTTCGGTTTATTAGAATTTCGGAACTGTGATCCAGATTTGGAAACTGAATCAATAGTCCAAACAGTGTGCTGTAAAATATATACATATTATTATGTATACATTTTGCAGTAATTGATTATAGTAAAGATCTTAAAGGGTGAACAAGTATTATTACTTCTAGTTAAGAAATGTGAGAGGCACATTTAAATAGATAGATTGGGTTTAATTGTTTACTACTGTTGTGGTGTGAGCCTCCAGTGAGAAATACTGGCTTGTTTTATTACGTTTTTAACCTAACACTTTGAACAAGGTGTGAAAAGAACCAGTAAGGAGCTTAAAAGGACACTAAAAGTAACCAAAACAACTTTAGCTTAATCAAGCAGTTTTGGTGTACAGCAGTCTCATTGCTCAATTCTTTTTTTTTGTAAATCAGTTTTTATTGAAATTTTTACTTTGAGTCAAAGTTAAAAGAATAAAGCAGGTTAAGACTTGCAGGCCTCTGTTGGTGTGTCATTACAATTTCAAACAGTGCGTAACATTTGTTTTCACATATACACAGGAGAATAAGACGATTGATCAACATTCGTCATGCGTTCATTGCTCAATTCTATGCCATATAGGAGTTAAATCAATAAGTTTTTGCAGCCTTAGTCACACCTCCCTGCATGTGACTTGCACAGCCTACAGTTTACACTTACTTTATTGCAAATTCTGTTTAATTTAGAAGTTTTGTATCTCCTGCTTTGTTAATAGCTTGCTATAATTTGCAGGGGTCTCCTGTATGCAATAACAGTTTAATTTACAGAGCAGGAGATTAAAACATTTTTTTTAAAGTTAACATCTGATTGAAAATAAAACCATTTTTTATTTATGGAGTCTGTGTCCGTCACAGCCAGGGGAGGTGTGGCTAGGGCTGCATGGACAGAAACAAAAGTGATTTAACTCCTAAATGACAGTGAATTGACCAATGAAACTTCAGAAGCATGGTCGATACATTAAACAGCTTCATTAAGCTCAAGTTGTTTTGGTGACTTTAGTGTCCCTTTAAAGATGTGCATGCAATGCACTTAATCTTCATAATTCACTTGTTTAAAGGTGTTCTGATGGATTTTAAAGTCAGAGATCTCCTGGTTGAGCCATATTAGTTGGACTATAAGTTCTAAGTGCAAGGAGAACAAAAACTGAAAGAGTGGGCATAGTGGTAACTATGCGAATAGTGAATGAATATGAGATGTTGATGTTTCTAGAAAATATATTTTTCTCCCCAAACAGAACGCTTATACTGCATCATTAGTTAACATATGCTTAGCACAATAGCCCTAGTTATAGCTTAAATAAAAGTACAGAAAACAATTATCTATACTATGTGCTAACAGAGAGACTGTACCAAGGTACTACCTGGAAAAGGGCCAATTACATTAAAAAAGCACGGAAGCACAGTGAGACTGGAAGATAGGCGCCACAATACTTTAATATTCATAAATCTTGGGAAAAGGTTCTACTGAAACAGTGGACAGGAAGCAAGCAAAATCATAACAGCTCTTAAAGGATCACTATAGTGCCAGGAAAACATACTCGTTTTCCTGGCACTATAGTGCCCTGAGGGTCCCCCTCCCTCCGGGCTCTAGGGGGTGGAAGGCGTTAACCTTACCCCTTTCTCCAGCGCCGGGCGTGGGACTCTCCTCCTCCTGGGCTGAATGCGCATGCGCGGCAAGAGCCACACGCGCATTCAGCCAGTCCATAAGAAAGCATTCTCAATGCTTTCCTATGGACGCTGGCGTCTTCTCACTGTGAAAATCACAGTGAGAAGCTCGGAAGCCCTCTAGGGGCTGTCAATGAGACAGACACTAGAGGCTGGATTAACCCTATTATAAACATAGCGGTTTCTCAGAAACCGCTATGTTTATAGAAAAAAGGGTTAATGCTAGCTGGACCTGGCACCCAGACCACTTCATTAAGCTGAAGTGGTCTGGGTGCCTAGAGTGGCCCTTTAAAGTAGCTAAATAAATAATTTATCTTGAAGATGGGGAGTACAAGCGCTTCTAGATATAATTTTAGATTAAGATTATACCAAACAGATTTGATATGAGCTGCTATACCACCGTGCTTATCTTTCTATTGGAAAATGGTGGAGGAGTGAGAAGTATCGGTGTAGCGCTCTATAATAGTGGATGTGTAAAAATGAATAAAAGAAAACCTTGCTATACCTTGATGGGTTATATATACTTATGAATAGTCCCAATGTTTTCTGGTTTACCTTAAATAAAAAACACAAATATACAGAACATAGTGTAACCTGTATACAAAACGTAGATAGAAATAAAGTGCATAGGTAACTCACTCACACTTTTCTGAGATAATGTATTAGCTCAAGTATATGCGCCTTAGGGTCCATAGAGGCGACCCTTCCCCTCCTTTTCGTCCAAATTTTCTCCAGGTACAAAGTCCTAGGTAATAGGTATAGGAGGAAAAATAGCGTAGTACAGTCTGATGTATATAAGGTATATTTAATAAATAATACCAATATGCTCACAAACCCTGAGCCAATATATCGGCCAATAATTTATCTTCATTATAAAATATATAGTAAAAACAAAGAGAACGTTACCTGCGCTCTGGCCTAAATCCCCATGTACACAAAGCGCGGTGTAAGCGCGGTGCTTTATCTTTGTGTTTGTATATGAATTTTGTATCACACAGCTATGTTACATTGCTGCCAGCCTCTCCACGTTTGTCTTATTAAGAGTTTATAAGGCTGTAGGGGCAGCACCCCTTCCTGTTTCATCAGAGAAATTTGCCTTTTAGCTGATACCAGCAAGGTGATTTGTATGTGTTATAGCCCTATTCAGGGTTAAGTATGTAGGGGTTTATAAAACACCCCTTCGTGTCTCATTAGAGATGTTTACACTTTGTCTGATACCAGCAAAGTTTATTGTATGTGTAGAAGCCCTATAAACGGTTAAATGTGAAAGGGTTTATAAAATACCCCTTCCTGTCTCATTAGAGATGTTTACTCTTTGTCTGATACCAGCAAAGTTTATTGTATGTGTAGAAGCCCTATAAAGGGTTAAATGTGAAAGGGTTTATAAAATACCCCTTCCTGTCTTACTGGAGATTCTTGGCTGGTATCAGCATATCTAATGGCTAGTGTAGGAACTCACCTATTGAGGCTTGCCTTGATGTGGCAGGTGAGCTTATATATTCAAATGGCCATTGGAATAAAACTAGAGCCTCCATTTTGTTTAAATGTACATGGGGATTTAGGCCAGAGCGCAGGTAACGTTCTCTTTGTTTTTACTATGTATTTTAAGCTGTTGGATACTAAGCTACTGCTGCTGTAAGCGCGGTGCTTTATCTTTGTGTTTTTAAAAAATATATATTTACTACTTTAGGAGCGTTTTTTTTAAGGTCATTTCAAGTCTTCTGCTTTCTTGCCCATTAAATGATTAATGGTGTAATGATGGAATTGCTAAATGTTCTTTGGGTTTTGTTTTTTGGGGGTTGAAGACTGTGATTAGCATAGCAGAGTGTCTTGAACTGATTCAGAACAAGGAATGAATGCTAATAAAGCAAGTGTCTTAAAACTATTCCAGACCATTTCATAAACTATTTCAAAAAATTTAATTCAATACCAGAAAGATGATTTCATAAGGAAGGTGTTATAAAGAATGTCCACTTTAGAATTGCTGTAGTTGAAAATTCTTGATTTGAAATCAAGCTGATTAGCCCATACATGTAGAAGAATATTATTAATTTTCCAATTAGCAAAAATTACTGTAACGTTGTGTGGCCTACTGTTGCAGCTCTGAATAATTATAGAGGTCTCGTATCAGGTGCTCTGCTAGTGATACTTTATATTTGACTTGGGGATTTCTTTCGGCCCAAACTGTACACATAATGGTTTAAAATGTATTTCAGCACGAATAAAAATATATCTGATTACCAAGTATAAAAAAATCCATAAAAAAAGGGGTGCTTGAATGATGTAAGTTCTTCATAATGTTACATAAGAAAAAATGGAAGTCTTGCATTTGTTTAATTTGAAGCAAAGATGATAAATCAAGAAGGAAAAATTGTGCATGTACCTAAAAGCATTTAACAAAGAACAAGATGGATATACATAAAGAGGTTTACTAGTAAAAAAAGAAAGAAAAAAAAGAATGTCAATTAGAGGTAGGGAACTCTAGCTGTAACATCACGAAAAAACATTTAGATGCGCTGCATAACCTTGCGAGTTCAAAAGCAGCGAAAAAATGTAAAAATGATTTCAAAGCAGCAAAATAAGTTAAAAACGAACACATATGCTATCAACAAAATAATTGACTTATTTATGTGTGTATTTATATGGTGAAATAAAGCATATAGCCTAATGTGCCCTATTCTTTAAAAAAAAAAAAACTGCTCTAAAAAGGTTTTATTTTTTTTAATTGGAAAAATAGCAAATATTGAGATTTAAAGAGTGCCCCGAAAGGCAATTTTCAATGTAAAGAACTCTACTGGAACATTTTTTAATATTAGCCATCATTGGAATGTTCTGAGCGCTGTTATTAGTAGAATACACTACAGTTGTAGTTTGCTAGTTTTTAGTTTAATTAGATTGTTATTATTGGTGTGAAACGTCTTGAAGATTGATTTTTGCACAGATGAATGTGTTCTGTTTTAATATAGACTGGTAAAGCAGTAGAAAAAAAGTACCAGTCAAAGGCAGATTTTTATATTGTCTCTGGAATTACATTGGCTAACTTTTCTAAAATGTAAAATTGCCTAATTATCCACAGTCTGAGATTGAGTAAAAAAAACAAACAAAATGTTAAAAAAGTTGGATTAAAAGTGCTGGATCAGAAGGACCACATCACAATGGAATGTTATTTGTAGTAGCAAGATAAACGCACAGATAAATGGCACACCTGAAATTTTAATGTAGAAATTGTTTATTGCTACTTGCATTACCATGTTTTTTTAATAAGAAACAAAACATCATATTAATACTTTTCATATCACTTTGAGGACCACTTTGTTGAAAAACTATTGCTCTACGTGTAGGCAACCATAGTCACTACAGATCTTGAGGACTACATCTCCCATAATGCTATTACAGCCATAATGCTGGGAGATGTAGTCCACAACATCTAGAGTCCCAGAGGTTACTTATCCCTGCTTAATGTAAACTCAATTAAATTATATGGGAAATGTTCAAAACATCCAAAAACATTGCACCTTAGTACACCTCAGCCATATAATATCATTCTAACTATTGACTATAGACATTGTGCTGTTTAGGTTGAATGATATAGAGCTGCCCCACTTACCAAAACCCCTCTCCTGAAGCCACACCGATACAATGGACCTTCCACACTCTAACCTTTCTTATAGCCTTTCTGAGCATCCTTTCATCATAGCCGACTCCTCCCCAACATAGCCTCTATTAACATTCAATCCATTCATCACTGTCTGCCTTTCTTAGCAAAACACATTTTCCTTAGCTCTCCCTCTCACTATCCAATCACTTCCTCATAAGCCCAAAAATAATTCTCCACTTACACATTAATCATATCACTTCCCTCCATCATATCACCTTTCTTCACAGTATCTAAATATCATAGTCTATACCAGCACTCATCCCTTAATCATTTAAGTACTGCTTTGCTACCCCATTCAAGGCTGCTATCAAGGGGTACAACCAATATAGGTGTATGGGGCCAGGGCCACTTAGGGGGTTCTGTATTTCTAATGCATATATAGAGAGTATCAATATGTGTGTTTGTATATATTCTGCTACTGACTAGCCCACAAGATTCGAGACAATTAGAAAAATATATGCACATGCACACACACGTCCCTTAAAATATATACACATGGCCCACAACACCCAGCTTAGCTTCTTATGGCCATACATTTTCAGCCTGGCAAATATATTAGAACTACATGACAGATAGCAGCAACGTTTTGACCTGTAAGGTTTCTCAAGCTCAGAGAAAGACCTTACAGGGCGAAACGTTGCTGCTATCTGTTACGAGGTTCTAATAAATTTGCCTTCTTGAATCTTGGAGTGCCTGAACTTTTCTCTGTTTAATGCAAATTGTACTTGGGATCTGGTGCTGGGTCCTAGTATGTCTGCACCCTGGTTCAGAGTAATAGGATTTAGTGTAGTTCCTAATTTATCTCAGAAAATAAATTTTAAGCCTGACCACTCAAGCTATCTCTTGCTATCTAAGAATTCAGGCAATTAGGTTAAATGCGAGAAGTCTCACAATTCTATCTCCTATCGCCGCTTAAACTAGCCCTAGCTACAAAAATTGTCTGATATATTAGCAGTATAACTCCCATCCATCTCGTTATATATGACATGGTGCTGTGCTGAGATTCACGCCATGCAACACAGATAGGGTTATTTTCTAAAGTGAGTAATTTGTTTAGTTTTCATAGTGAATTTTAAGGACAAAGTCACCAAATTGGAAGAAATGTTACAGTTCAGCTACTTTGACCTTCAATTGTAAATCTACTTGAATTACTGACAATTCTCACTTTAATAAAAAACCCAACAGTTTCATACTGTGCAACGGTATTACTGCAAAGTGTGAAAACACAATGCTGCACCATACAGATTTTCAATTTTAAAACGTGATCTGGTCATTGAACAGATACATAATTGTATATACACACAAATATGTATAATTATGTTTCACTTATTTCTGAATTGCTTCATACACAACCAACTAACTTACTGTCGCCTTTAATATTTTATAATAATATTAATATATAACAAATATAATATGTCTATTTAATTGTAGTCCCACATACAGAGTAATTGCACTCTCCGACACTTCATAACCTATATGTGAGACTTCATGGCATATCCCTCTCTTCAAGATAAATACATCTGGGGCCCTGAGACTTTAAAAAAGCTGAAATTATATTGTTAGCCACATAGATTTATGACTCTGCTTCCAAAACACAAGGCAAAATCACTGATTAACCCCTTAAGGACACATGATGGAAATATTCCATCATGATTCCCTTTTATTCCAGAAGTTGTGTCATTAAGGGGTTAAAGAAATAACAGCCTTCCATTGCACTATTTTGGTCTTCTATGTGATAATATGGTTTTGGACTTACTTGTATATTAACCACACTGACATTTTTTAAATCTGAATTTCCTCTGGAGTGTGGGCAATTACACATACCTAATTTAACAGTCAATTTATCACATGGAGTTCGCTCAGCTATTACTTTTCTTAAACTGTTCCAGCAATGTACATTATTTATATGTACAATTTTATCCAATCTTTAGTAGTTAGTTTTCATTATTGCACATACTGATAGTATACCTATGAACTAGTCAACAGAAGATATAAATCACAAAACAATATTGTAACTTATATGTTACAAGTTAATATATTCAGTAGTTATGGGTTTATTTGCTAAACCAAGATTCGTGGGGAATTGACGAGAGAAAGTAAAATCTTATCTTCAAATAATTTTTCAAATGTTCTAGTTTTGCATAAAATACACAAATTCTTAAATTAGAACATAACCCCATTCATTTTCATCACTAAAATGTAGGCAAATTAGTTTGGAATTTTCATCGAATGTTCTATGCATATTAAATAAAACTGATTACAATACCTTGTTCAGTGAAGATACCAGGTACATGAAGAATAATAAAGAATACGGTTAAGAAATACATTATCTTGGCCATTTCAAGGTAAGTATCCAAGCTCTTTTGCAGCTAAATAACCTAATGAAAATGTTTAAAATTCTGCGTTGCTGATTTTTGCACCTTAAATATAATTAAGAGATGTTACTGATTAACTAAAGGTGACTAAGAAATAGAAAAATAACTATGTCATATGTCATAGCAACAGTGGGCGATTCAATCAGTTCAATTTGCTCTTTGACCCATCCTAAACTAGAAGTTTGGGAACAAAAATATCCATAACAAACAGTCCAATGTCACACATACTGATAAAGGCAACACTTGTGATAACTAGAAATATATTCTGTTCTAACAAAGTACAGGGGATTTAAACAGTGTAATAGTACAACTACATTTGAAAGATGCACATTTGTTCTAATGTAAATTTAGTATTGATTTATGCATTTTTATCCTATAAGGTTAAAAATCATGATTTTTTTTATGCATTTAGATATAAACACATTTTTTAAGGATATCTGAAAATGATCTACATGTCAAACATTGTTTGCAGTGCCTAGCGGTCACCAATGCAATGTTTGAAACTATTAAAAAGACTTTATCGAACTTTAATCCTACTACTAATGCACTGTATCCACGTCAACGTGTAAAATAAAGGAAACACTAAGTGTAACATTGCTAATTCTTGTTTTGTGTGTGTTTAAAAATATTAATTCTACATTATTAAATTAGACTCTGATATTAATTAACTAGTTTATATTGTATAAAAAAAGAATAGACTTGTACAATAAAACATACAAAATGTGCACGCTTGCTATTGAAACAGCAAGTTAAAGAGAAACTATAAACATAAAAACAACTTCAGCTAAATGAAGGAGCTTGGGTGTAGAGATCATGTCACTGCAGTTTCTCTGCTCAATTCTCTGCCATGTAGGAGTTAACTAACTTTTGATTCGGTTTATGCAGCCCTAGCCACACATACCCTGGCTGGGACTGACGCAGCCTGCATGAATAAAAAATGTTTTATTTTTTTATTTTTATTTTATTTATGATTTCATATATTATTTTAACACATAATACAATACAATACAAAACATATCATACAAAGTGGCATTATGACAATCAACGTATGCATAAATCACATACAGTCGTGAGCATGGTTCCCATACATAATAAATAACCGTACGACCACGTCACTTAAACAAACAATCACGACGAACACTGCGGCTGCGAGACCGATTACTACTTAAAACTTGTATTATTTACAATGTATTAGATAAAAACACGCTCTTTTTAGGGCTCAATATAAAGGGCAGTAACCTTTTCTATTAGTTCTCCATAAATGGATGAAAATCTATATCCTGGGTGAGAATTGTAAAGTAGCCTATTTTTTTCCATCTCCAATTGATAAACCAATTGCTTTATGAATAATGTTTTTGTTGGAATAATTACTTGCTTCCAGTGTCGAGCAATTAATATTTTTTCTGCCATTAAGCAATGGGTTATCAAAATATCATGTTTTTTAACACCTACCGTACTATTTATATTTAACGAGGAGTTTCCGTTTTTCTAATCAATGGTATTACAATAATATCCTTTAGAGTTTTAACCCCTTAAGGACTGAGCCAAATGTACACGTTGTTATCAAAACAAAACGTAAACAAAAAGTATTTGCGCTATATGTCTGTTCACGCGTATTTTGCCTCTTTCATATTATATATAATTTTATTCAGGGGAAACAGGGCTTTCATTTAACATCAAATATTTAGGTATGAAACATAATTTAATATGAATAAAATATAAAAAAAGTGACACTCTAACTATGAATGTCATAATACTGTTACTATTACTGCAATATAATACACATTTGTGTTCAGCAACGTCTCATTTGTAAAACAGTAACCCCTATGTACAGGTTTTATAGTGTTTTGGAGAGTTACAGGGTCATATATAACATGTTACATTTTTCAGTTTTTTCACATTGAAATCCCCCTGTTGACTAGGCCGTCCATGTGACCTCATGATCACATGGCCCAGGGGGCCGAAACCAACAGAGGGGCACTCCCTGGGCTCCCAAGTAAGTCCCCACACCGCGATCGCCTGCGTAGGATCGCCGGCGACCAGGTAAGTACCCTGGACGGCGGGGACGTGCTATGCCGCCCTCCGGCGTTTAGAGACGGTTCCCTAAGGATGGCATAGCACGCCCGCCGTCCTTAAGGGGTTAAATACTAGGTCCCAAAATTGAACTATTCTAGGGCAATTCCACCATATATGAAACATGATGTAAACATCTCCAATAAACGAGAATTAGAAGGGGAGAACATAGAAAGCCTTACTGGCACCATGTACCACCTGTACATGACTTTTTTGATTTTTAAAAATGTAGAATCCCAAACCCTATAATTTATAGAGATTGCTAAATCTTTTTCCCCTTGTTTCATAGTAGACAATTTCAATATCAAAGTTTTCATGTATAATAATTCCCTTGCATTAGAAATGGATAATCTTTTACTTGTACCATTGAATGTTTTCTTAAGTAGGTTGATTTTATCATTATTCAACTTTAATAGATGTTCCTTAAGAAACCCTTGAACTCGAAGGTATTTAAATATATCTTGTTGAGAGATGTTCAATTTCTGCTTCAGTTTATCAAAAGATAATATTTGATAATTCTCACATATTCACCCTAATGTACATTCCTGTTGTTTAGTCCAACTTCTTAAAGGACCACTATACTGCCAGGAAAACATACTCGTTTTCCTGGCACTATAGTGCCCTGAGGGTGCCCCCACACTCAGGGACCCCCTCCCTCCCGGCTCTGGAAGGGGGAAAGGGGTTAAAACTTACCTTTTTCCAGCGCTGGGCGGAGAGCTCTCCTCCTCCGATCCTCCTCTTCTCCTCCCCGTCGGCTGAATGTGCACGCGCGGCAAGAGCTGCGCGCGCATTCAGCCGGTCACATAGGAAAGCATTCATAATGCTTTCCTATGGACGCTGGCGTACTCTCACTGTGAAAATCACAGTGAGAAGCACGCAAGCGCCTCTAGTGGCTGTCAATGAGACAGCCACTAGAGGAAATAGGGGAAGGCTTAACCCATTCATAAACATAGCAGTTTCTCTGAAACTGCTATGTTTATGAAAAAATGGGTTAACCCTAGCTGGACCTGGCACCCAGACCACTTCATTAAGCTGAAGTGGTCTGGGTGCCTAGAGTGGTCCTTTAAATTAATGTCAGGCTTTACTGTCTCCAGTATTCTAAAATGTTTTCATTCAGATGTTAACTTGCTTTTATATCCTGCTCTGCAAATTGAGCTTTTATCACACTGAGGAGCCTCCTGCAGGGTCAAGAAGACTATTAGCAGTGCAGGAGATAAGGAATTTTAAATTAAATAGACTGTGTAAAAAGGGAACCTAGGATATCTAATAAATACCTAATCATTTATAGAATAAAAGGAAGGCTGTGCAATTCACATGCTGGGAGGTATGACTTGGGCTGTATAAATAAAGTGATTTAACTCCTTAATGGCAGAGAAATGAGCAGTGAGACTGCAGGGGCATGGTCTAACTCTATACAGTTGATGTTTTGGTTTTGGTGTCTATAGTACTATAGCATCCCTTGAAACAATGTCAAGAGTACGTCAACATTGCAGCTCTGTTTATAATGAAGCTCATCAATAAACTGCAGAGTATATAATTTATTCTCTTTACTGTAACCCCTCCTAGGGCCATGGGGGTCTGGTCTGTACATTTGTGTGCTGAGTGCTGTATATATATATATATATAGTGTGTGTGTGTATCTGAATGTTGTGTGTGGGGGTGGTTGAGTGTTTTATGCGTGTAGTGTGTTGTGTATGTGGGAGCATAGACTTGTATGGTGTGCCTGTGTGTGTTAGTTGTGGTGGTTGAAATTTGTGTATAGAGGAAAGTTTAAGTGTGGCTGAGCGTCGTATGTGTGGTGTTGAATGTGTTGTGGAAAAGTGTACCCCCATACATCTTTTCCTATTGTTCTCCATGTGCACATGCATACTTGGGGATGTTATCTCTTGTGGTCTGTTGGGAGAGTTTTGTGGTCTGCAACTCTCTCTTGGGTGCAGATCACTTCAACAGCTCCCTTGCAGTTCCTGTTGCTCATTCAATGATTCAGAGCACTGTTACAGACAGAACAGGAGCTCCAGGCTCATACAGGGGCCCTAACTATGATGCATAATGGGTAATTCGGCTCTGCAGTAAGCCCTCACACTAATATTTATACTGATGGGGAAAGAAGCGTGCAGCAATTTACTTTCTGAGCTTTGTGCAAATTGGAGATGCTATGTACTATAACTTTAATCACATTAATTCAGGCAAATCTAGAAATGTAATCCATGGCATCTAGAGCACAGGTACCTCTAGAGCACAGGTAAGCAAAATATGGACAGTACACTAACCCTGAGTACCTTTTAAACCTAAGTACCTGTTAACTCGATTTAAGCAGGTGCTCCACCTGAGTCACCAGGAGGACCTACTCAGACAATAAAAGGCTGCTTTGGGCCTCATGCATTGAAAACCTCTACAAACCATTGACACTTGTTTAGAATTCTGACCCCCATCTCCACAATTGCCTCAAGACTCTTGTGCTGTGACTAGTAATTTAAATTTGAGACTGTGGCAGAAACTCACTAAAATACTATTAAGTGATATAAACGGCACTAAAGTAAAGTGAATCAAAAGATAGTTACTGGTCTCTCTCCCTCCAGTCAGAAAATTGAAACATACAATTAGGCCCTAATCCTAATGCATTTTGTCGTTTCATGTTTCACTGTTCACAAGAAGTGTTCACAAGCTAATGTTATACCGCCCACTTTTATCTACATAGGTTCTGATTAGCTATTTACAGGTGATACTCGAAAAATTTGAATATCGTGCAAAAGTTCATTTATTTCAGTAATGCAACGTAAAAGGGGAAACTAATATATGAGATAGACGCATTACATGCAAAGCAAGATAGTTCAAGCCGTGATTTGTCATAAGTGCGATGATTATGGCTTACAGCTCATGAAAACCTCAAATCCACAATCTCAGTAAATTAGAATATTACATGCAATCAATAAAACAAGGAGTGTACATAGAACAATATCGGACCT